ACCCCCGGGGGTCATGATTTTAACAATTTAGAATCTACACTACCCCAGGATGATTCCACATAAGTTTCAGCTTTTCTGGCTCAGTGGTTCTTGAGAAGAAGATTTTTAAAGATTTTTCCTATATATTTCAATGTAAAACTTGGATTCCCTATTGTGGCCCCGCCCTACCCCCGGGGGTCATGATTTTAACAATTTAGAATCTACACTATCCCAGGATGCTTCCACATAAGTTTCAGCTTTTCTGGCCCAGTGGTTCTTGAGAAGAAGATTTTTTAATGACACCACCCTATTTTTGTCTTTTCTTGATTATCTCCCCTTGTAAGGGGACTTGGCCCTTTATTTTAACAATTTAAACTCCCCTTCACCCAAGGGTACTTTGTACCAAGTTTGGTTAAAATTGGCCCAGTGGTTCTTGAGAAGAAGTTGAAAATGTGAAAAGTTTACAGACGGACGGACGGACAGACGGACGGACAGACGGACAGACGGACAGACGGACGGACGACGGACAACGGGTGATCAGAAAAGCTCACTTGAGCTTTCAGCTCAGGTGAGCTAAAAATGAATGTGACATCCCCAAACAAAGACCTATTCAGAGGTTCAAACCTCATCTTAAAAACAGGAAAAAACCCTTCTGTGTGTGACCTTTCTGTTCGGTCCTCATCAACAACAGGTGCCCTCATGACATGTGTAATTTTGTTGTCAACTGTCAGACATAATACATGTATCACCTGTGCTCTCCTTCCTACTGTGTTGCTCCTTATTACACAGCTAACCTAGATCAAAAACACATTTTCTTGTATCCATCATTCCAGCAGGTATTGATGTAAAAGAAATTTTTTAAGGTAAATGGTGTACAGTTGCTTTTACTACATGTGGGATAAAAGAGAATTCACAAAGTCACAAATGTACAGTCTGACTGAGAAGTTTCTGAAGTAACAAGTCTAGTCCTTAGATTTATCATCTGGACATATTAGAAAGACACCAAACCTCATGACATGATGTACCAATAAAAGCAAAGCAATATTCTCATTTCTAAAACATAAACAAAGATGAGAAATGGGTGCGAGCTAGATCATATCTAACTAAAACAATCATTTTCATGGCGATTAATGTATTTGTTGTTTACACTTAGTTAGATCCTATGCCTACATGTTTGTTGATCACTGTCCACGGACAGATGTCATGACTCTGTCAGTCTGTCTATGCCCTGTGTTTGAAATATTATAACTATTTACTGTGTTTCACATAAATCATAATGTACTTCCCCCCCTCTTTAATTTTATTAATAATTCAGTATTATTCAGCAGCTCCTACTTTTTTAAAAAAAAAGGTCAGCCTCAAAATCAGTGATGCATCAAAAAGATAGTTTTTATAATTGAAATTCAATGATTCCTTAGTTCATAGACCTAGATAGATCTAGCATAATTTAAAGGAAATAAAAAATAAACAATTTTAAATTTTTTACTCCAAACTTTCAATCTTATATAAGTTAACTTTGAAATCTACAAATTAATGTACAAAGAATTTATGTGAGCCAACAAAAGATATGATAGCCTTTTTGATATATCTGATTCTTTCCTTTTTGTTCTGTACACTATAAGTAGACATTTCACCTGTCAGGGTAAGAAATCATAGAAAGGGAAGAAACATATAAAGTAAATACTAAATATTGACATACAGATCTAGGTGTTTACGTATCTCAGTGTTTAATGACCAATCTGCCTGTCCTCCATGACATACAAAATTCTACTTTTATACAAAACATTTTATATCTGGATTGTATTGTTACCAAATTAATACTACAACAGGAAAATATGCACACTCAAACACGAGCAAATGTTGAAAAAAAAAAACAAACATTCAAATGAAAATACACTGCTGCAATGCTTCTAGAATAGAATATAGACGTCAAAGCTAAAAGTCCTGTTACTAACCCAACACAATGTATACATGTATCAAGTTAGTCATACATACCCCAATACACATACATTAAATGAACCATAGTATGGCATGTACCATGTTGAGCACAAAATCTCATAAATGAATTAGGTATAGATATATTCAAAAGTTAAAAGATTCAATCCAGTAATTGTACAGACAATGACTGATCCTTCTACTCTTTAGTCAGCATCACTTCATATCTGACTATTGGTAGTCATATGGTAGAAAATAGTACTGAATGATAATAAGATTATTAACCTGAAAAATATTGAACTGTAAATACACTTCTTGTCGTGGTCACTGGTGCCCATTATCACATGATTATTCTGTACCGGAATTTGTCTTACAAATAGAATTATTATTAAGTTTAGTTTTTACCATATATACCAAGCAGGGGTTCAAAATTCCTCAAGCCCGACGTCCCGGACTAACAAATTCCGGATCCGGACTCGGCATTTAGAATCGCCAAAAGTCCTGGGACTTGGCAATGTTTCTTGTTTATCTTTTATTTAAGTTAAGAAAAAAGTTCGTAAAACTAAAAATAAAGCAAATTCTCAAATGTATTGAATAAAAATGTGGATTTTTTGGCGTTAATATACCCACAAAACATTACGAACGTCTCAAAAATATAATCCGTCTTTTTATGTTCCGTTGCGGTTAGACACCTGCTTTTACGCAATTTCTCATGTTTCCTCCCATATGACATGAGTTTGTTAAATTTTGGTTTTACCTGGAAAGGAACGAGAAATAAAAGACCCCATGAGGAACATGAAGCTGGGGATCAAAATAACAATTCCAAAGACAGAACCTATGACAAGAAGAGAGTTCGCGAATTCCAAAGCCACTGGCGTGATGATAGGCTGTGGCTTGATTAAAATGACGATATGAAAACGATGTTTTGTTCATTTTGTCAAAGTTTTCCGATTACGGCGGACAAGTCAAATGCATTGATATATAAAATATAATTTTATCTATCATGAAAATATGGACTCAGAAATTTCTTCCTCGGACTTGCCTAAAATTTACTCTTTAAGTCCTGGACTTGACCATGATAAAAAAAATTTTGAACCCCTGCCAAGCATTTATAAAGAATAGACTTATAGTTATATTATATAATAGAACAAGTAACCTTAAGAGGCTCTTCCTATGGTGGAAATTGTTACATCATTATAACTATATATAACATGTACGTGATAATGACCTTTTGTGAGTAGAGAGCAGTGTTCGAAATTAGCGTCGGCCCGTCGGTCCTGCGCCGACGTACAAACGAAAGGACTCACGAATAGTATGACTAAATGGGTCCTTGAAATAATTTTGGGCCGATGATGATTTGCCGGGAAATAAGTTAACGTCAATCACATCTTCTCAGACCGTTGTTTTTCTTTACCGCTTGTTGGAAAGGCGTAAGAAGTTGCGATTAAAGTTTAGGTATATTGGTGTATGTATTTACATTAACTTTTATATCTTTCCTGCATTTTAACATGTTTAATTGGATATATTAAACATTTTAACCAATGAGCGTCTAATGAGCGTCTTTAAATCAAATTGGACTTATGATGGGCAAAACTTGTTATTTTTATCAAGATCGTATAATTTCTTCTTTCATGTGTATTTTAAATAAATACTGAAGATTTGATTTCTTTTCTGTATGGAATAAAGTTACGTTATATGTATGCGGTTACATTTTATCAACATATTGTGGTAATCTATGAAACCTGCGTAATTTTTTATCCGCGGATTTTAAAACAGCAATTATATTTCTGAGGAAAAGTATGTATATTGTAATATAATTTAATTTTGGTTGTAAAGCGTCATTTGATTGGATAAAAAAAATAGAAAATAGCGTATAACCTGGGTTGCCTACGTCACAATGACTTACGTATCAATCCGCTTGACGTTACATTTAAAATACGTACAATTTAAGGGCATTTTTGAAGGAGAAATTGTTTTATTTTTTTACACTTAATGATGGGAAATTAAATTATAAGGAATAACTTTAATAGCTACCCAAGTTATACTGGTATAACCTGGGTTGGAACAGTTTACGCTTTTTTATAAAACCGCTTGGGTAGCTATTAAAGTCATTCCTTAAATAAACACATGTCAAACTCATTAAATGTTATATATGACCAAGTAAGACAGTGTGATGATTAATATCTTACCGTTTCAAATTGTTAATACTTGCGAATTGTAGATACCCTTTATTAAATTGACATATTTCATATGAAGCAATAAACTTACCAAGATCATCGATACGTAAAAGTTTATTTTCCCAAAATATTTAATGGTATTATTTTTTGGCCTGCGCTGCCCTGAAAGGACTCGTGTAGTCCCTTTATCTGTGGGTCCTTTGGACCCATAGAAAATAATTCTGAATTTCGAACACTGGTAGAGAGACATAAGTAACAGAGAGACATAAGTAACTGAGACATAAGTAACAGAGAGAAACATAAGTAACAGAGAGACATAAGTAACACAGAAACATAAGTAACAAGTACTTTTCAATTTTCACACTGTTTAACTGAACAAGTATGCCAACATGATCAAAGATAATGAAATCAAACCTTTTAAATTCTATCTATCTATTATTAAGAATGTTACATTTTCATAAGTTTTTTTTTAATTCAACAGAGAAGGAGTTTCAAGAAAGAACATGTGACTTGAAGTCATGCAACCAATCTTTAAGATTACAAAATTTATGTCTGGTCTGGCACATATTTTGGCTAGTAAACCTGTCAATGGCAAGAGTTGAGAATCTCCTCTGGGAGTCATGCTTCAAACATAAAATTTTAGCTACAGATCTGAGATCTCTATATATATATTTCTATCTTATAACAGAAAATCATCACTTTTTACATTATAATTCGAGTATTTTATCACATAAAACAATGCTGAGTTTTTAAAGGGAATAAATATCTGAAATCATTTCAGACAAGCAATTCAGTAATGCCAGCAGTGGAACAGAGGAAAGTCGGATTATAACTGAAGTGTTCCTGTTAACAGTTCAGTTAAATACATACTAACAAAATCATTAGTGGAAAAGAATAAACTAGACAAACCTAAATCTTCCATTACTCTCTGGCTATAGTGTTGCATCAACTACCACTTGTTAAGTTTGTTGTCTTGCTTCCGGTATGAAAATAACAGAAATATTCAGAGGAAATCCTGAATACACTTATGAGAGATGACGACTCATAGATGGACTATGTAATTTGTACCTCACTTGTATAATCTGTCTATAAGGACAACAACACTAGACCACTCAAACTGTCCTTAAAAAATGTCAAAAATGTTGATACATAACTTTATAAATTTTTTTGTTCCCATTACACATATTCCGGAACTACTTCCGTTCTAAATGGCATGTACTCGTGCCCGATCTTATAGGGGCGGATCCTGTTGAGAATGTTTTCTCCCTCCTGCTAGAGCACCTCAAGGACACATGATACAAACTTTTGTCAAAAATTTAGAAAATAATAAATCGTGTTTATATAAGTAAAATGAATAAGTTTCACCGCATAGTTATTAATTTTTCATTCAAAGTTTCACAGTAATGGGATTTAAAATTACAAAGAGTTTACTGTTTAAATTAATAAGGATGGTTGCAAAAAGGTAGAAATTTGAACATCACAGAAAGTCTACAATTTCTTAATAATATCTTAGAAATTTATTATTTGCATCATTTTACAACCAAAATAAGTCCAAAATATATATATCAATCCATACATCCATTTTTTTTTTATCATCTTTCCTTAATGTAAAATAAATTCCAACTTTTATTGAGAACGAATATGTCTAATTTATGTTTTATAGGATATATTACACCTACATCTTATGGAATATGCATGAGTTCAAAAACACTGTTATTACATAGTACAAAGTAGTTAGTAGAATATTCTTTTTATTATTGGACAGCAGAATGTTGAGAAATAGAGTGTAAATTTGTTCCCTGATAAGAGCACCCTATTTGTTCCTTTATATTCACTCTCCAGACTTGGACAAGTGTTTAAAACTAAACGGATTACTTGCAAGTCAGGTTGATCATCTTTAAAGTTCTTCTGCAATTACAGTGTCGGATATTCACAGAAGAAAACCTTATCTGAAGATGCTGCTGAAGAGTAATAAATTATTTATCTTAACCAACAAGAGATCTAGAAGTGAATTGTAAAAGTTTCACTGGCAGTTCTGCTGGTGATTTATATCCAAAAATCATCACAATTCTATAACATTTTTGCTCACAGAGGGGATTTCACCAAGAAATTAAGTATAAACATTTCATACCAATGGTTTGAAAATATAATCATCATTCAAGGCAAATATAAATATTGAGAGGTGTGTTTGCAATAGCTGTTTCCTATATGCCACACATCCTTCACCCTTATAATGGTTTGTCCTGCTTTTTCACTCATCATAAGGGAGAACATTTTAAGACAAATGAACGTGGATTCTATAAATAACCACAGTTTAATCCCATGTTTATGCTCTAATTCTATCAGGTTTAATGATAAAATAAAACACTATCACAAACTGTGTCATAAAAATCATTTATTTTGTACATTTTTTTATATTATGGTAGTCATAGCCCATGTCTGTCCAAAAACTTCAACACATACATGAATAGGTATTATATACAGAATCAACCATCCATAAAAAAGAGCAGATTTGTCCTCATTCTTCACCAAAGATACACATTCTCTTTCACAGACATTCCTCTGAACACTCAATGGCTGCACCCAGACACAAAGATCAGATTCTCTCCACCTCATGTTTTCTGACTAGTATCCCTGGAGCGGTAGAACACACCTTTACTTTTGAGATCTCTAATTGTACTGGGGTGAAGTCGACCTGTCACAGAAATAGCGTAGCAGCCTTTCACAAATCTTCCTGCAATAAATAGATCACATATACTTAAAAGAAACATAGATTATTTCTAAGAGAGAAATTGAGGAAAACATCTCACCCTACATCTGGGGGCCATGGATTTGAACAAAATTGATTCTACACTACCTCAGGATGCTTCCACATGGATATGACTAATAATGCCTTTGTCGTTCTTGAGAGGAAGATTTTTAAAGATTTTTACTTAAATATATTTCTATGTAAAACTCTTATCACCTATTGTGGCCCCACCCTATCCCCAGGGTCATGATTTAAACATTATCTACACTACCTGAGGATTCCCACCCCATCTAATGATTTGAACAAACTTGAATCTACACAACCTGAGGATGCTTCCATATTAATATAACTAGATATGCCTATGCTCTTATTGAGAAGATTTTTAGATTTTTCCTATATATTCCAATTTTTTATTATTTGTTTCCACATAAACCACCTACCATCTGGATATGGCATGAAAAGTTAACTATAGGGGTGAAACGATACACCTTCTTCGCGGTTCGATACGTATTGTATAATTTTGTCTCGGTTCGGTTATTTTCGATACATTTTGATAGAGGGAAACAAATTCAACGTTGTTTTATGCTTTCTTTTTCTAAATCTAGTCACATATTTTACGAATTTTATTTGCAAATTGACTAGAAGAAATTGATTAAATATTATTTGACTGTCAAAAATTATTTAACAAGCTATCAGTCATCAAAAATTTACGTTTTCTATACTTATTTATACTGAATAACGTGTTTTACCTTATGCCATACCCGACTGAATAACGATCCCGACCGAAAAACAAGAGGCCCATGGGCCACATCGCTCACCTGAGCACAGTGGATAGGCAAAAGCACAAATCAGTTCAGTATTGAAAAGATTTCGGGGGGGGGGGGGGGGGGGGGGGGGGGCTTGAATTTTAAACTACCTGATGATGCTTCCATGTCAAAATAACAAATGGCTTTGTTGTACTTGAGAAGATTTTTAAAAAAATTTCTGATATATTCCTTTGTAAAAATTTGATCCCCCCTTGTGGCTCCTCCCTATCCCAGGGGTCATCATTTGAACAAACTGGAATCTACACTACCTGAGGATGCTTCCATATCAATATGACTAAACATAGCTTTTCTGTTCTTGAGAAGAAATATTTTTTCTATATGTTCTTATGTAACATCCGATCCTCCATTGTGGCTCCGTCCTACTCTCGGGGGTCATCATTTGAACAAACTTGAATCTACACTACCTGAAGATGCTTCCATATCAATATGACTAAACATAGCTTTTCTGTTCTTGAGAAGAAATATTTTTTCTATGTGTTCTTATGTAAAACTTTCTATCCCCCTATTGGGCCCCACTCTACCCTCGGGGGTCATCATTTGAACAAAATTGAATTTACACTACCTGATGATGCTTCCATATCAAAATGACTAATCATGGCTTTGCAGTTCTTCATCAGAAGAAATCTTCCTATATATTTTCTATTTCAGACTTTGATCCTCCATTGTGGCCCCACCCAACCCCAGGGGGGCAACATTTGAACAAACTTGAATCTACACTACCTGAGTATACTTCCACATAAATATGATCAATCAGGGCTTTGCTGTTCTTGAGAAGAAAATTTTTAAAGATTTTTTCCTATATATCTCTATGTAAAACTTTTATCCTCCTTTGGGGCCCCACCCTACCCCCAGGGGTCATGATTTGGACATACTTAAATCTACAGTACCTTAGGATGCTTCCATATCAATATGATCAATTAGGGCTTTGCTGTTATTGAGAAGAAGATTTTTAAAGATTTTTCCTATATATTTCTATGTAAAACTTTGATCCTCCACTGTGGCCCCGCCCTACCACCGGGGGTCATGATTTGAACAAACTTGAATCTACACTACCTGAGGATGCTTCCATATAAATATGACTCATCATGGCTTTGCTGTTCTTGAGGAGAAGATTTTTAAAGATTTTTCCTATATATTTCTATGTAAAACTTTGATCCTCCATTGTGGCCCCGCCCTACCACCGGGGGTCATGATTTGAACAAACTTGAATTTACACTACCTGAGGATGCTTCCATATAAATATGACTCATCATGGCTTTGCTGTTCTTGAGGAGAAGATTTTTAAAGGTTTTTCCCATATATTTCTATGTAAAACTTTGATCCTCCATTGTGGCCCCGCCCTACCCCCGGGGGTCATGATTTGAACAAACTTGAATCTACACTACCTGAAGATGCTTCCACATGAGTTTCATCTTCCCTGGCTTTGTGGTTCTTGAGAAGAAGATTTTTAAAAGATGCTATTAATTTTTCACTAATTCTTTATTATCTCCCCTTGAAAGAGGGCATGGCCCTTCATTTGAACAAACTTGAATCCCCTTCACCCAAGGATACTTTGTGGCAAGTTTGGTTGAAATTGGCCCAGTGGTTCTTGAGAAGAAGTCGAAAATGTGAAAAGTTTACAGACAGACGGACGGACAGACGGACTACAGACAAAATGTGATCAGAAAAGCTCACTTGAGCCTTCGGCTCAGGTGAGCTAATGAACCGAACCGAAAATTAGAGATTTTGCACCGTGTATCAAACCGAGAAAAAATACCGCGGTGAATCGATACCGCGGTGAACCGTTTCACTCCTAGTTAACTACCCTTTATGAGACATATTTAAAGAATGTTATTTGATATTTCTGTATTATAATTCATTTATATTTTTTTGAAAACTGCATAATATTTTGCAAATTGTGATAAAGATTTTATTTTACATAGTTTATAACATATAAGAGCTGTCTTTGTGCAACACACTACTTCAAAAATTAACTTGTTCTAAAGTAAATTCAACTGACATTTGCAAAGAGTGAAAATGATTTAAGCACAACTTGCCTCGTAAATGTTGAGGTGTATCAACAATATATTGCGTAATGCATAAACACAATAAAAAAATATAATTTGAGCTTTTTATGACTGTAAAGGGGGAAATTTTCTCTTGGGGAAAAATACCAAATACCGTAAATATGATCTAGATTAATCCCTGCCTACCCCTTGGGGTTATGATTTGAACTTGAATCTACACTATGTGATGAAGCTTTCATATAAGTTTCAACTTTTCTGGTCCAGTGGTTTTTGGGAAGAAGATTTTTGAAGATTTTTTTTCCTGTTTATTTCTATGTAAAAATTTGATTGCCTATTGTGGCCCAACTCTACCCCCCCCCCCCCCCCCCCGGGCATAATTTGAACAAACTTGAATCTAGACTATTTCATGAAGCTTTCATGTAATTTCAATTTGATTCTTGAGGAGAAGATTTTGGAAAGATGCCATTAAATTTTCACTAAATCTTAAATATTTCCCACTGAAAGAGGACATGGCCCTTCATTTGAACAAACATAAACCCCTTTCTCCCAAGGATGCTTTGTGGCAAGTTTGGTTGGAATTGGCTTTGTGATTCTGGAGAAGAAGATGAAAATGTCAAAAGTTAACAGACAGACAAAGAGATGGACGGATGACAAACTTCAATCAGAAAAGCTCACTAGAGCCTTTGGCTCAGATACACTAAAAAATTGAGGTGGTGGTAGAAAATGAGAGAGGGTGGGGATGAGAATGTATGAATTTTTTCATTATGGCCATATATTCAGTATACATTAGGAAGAAAGAGAAGTAGTTCTTTCTCCAAAATGTAATCTATGGTATGTACTCAGTATGCATTAGGAGAGAAGGGAAGTAACTCTTTCATAATCAATTACCAATTCTCTGCCATTTGGCAACCCAACTATCCTCTGGTCCCATTAGTGCAATTAATCTGTAAAAAAAAAATACATATATACATTAAACATATAACATAAAATATCATACACAATAATTGCAATATATGTCCTGAACCATTCACATTTTCAGACAATATTGCCTAGGACAAATGAGCAAAAAATTTCACCAAATTGTCCCTGACATTGTTCTAATTGCATGTTTTATGCAGGTATCTGCACTGCTCTGCAAGTAAATGTAATGAGATATACAATGACAATGTTAGTATGTATGATTTATTGACAGAATATCCATTTAGTTGCATACTTACCCATCAAAGTTTGAGCTTGTGCAGTCATAAACTTGTTCTCTGTTGTTCTTCATACGGAGATACTCCTCACAATTATCACAACCATCATACTCAAATTGCTCCAAAGTCTGCATTCAAGATATGTAATATTATCAATGACCCTGTCCACATACATCTGATTAAATGTTATTAAAAACCACAAGATTCTAGAAATTTAATGTCATAGGTAAATATTATTATCAAATACTATGAATAGTCACAGGCACTTTCAACCAGTAAATTCATTTTTTTTAATGTGGTACACCTTAAGAAACATCTTTAAAGATGAGGAAATTTGAGCTACAATGTACTTCTACCATAGTCTAGTCAATATAAATATTTTTAATCTCAACAGAGTAGAGCGAAACAAGAATTTAAAGGTCAAGATTTAGTAAATGAGTTTTGACTGTCTTTTTGGTGGTAGATTCATTTATGTGACGTCATAATTGATTTGCAGGGATCACTCTGGATTTTAATGTTGATGGCCTATGGCCCATCAACCTTAAAATCCATGGGCCATCTGCCGGGGGTATGGGGGCCATGTTAGACCCCCATTGGGGACCAGGGGCAATGCCCGGTAGGGGGCCCAGGGGGGCAAAGCCCTCTGGGAAAAATTGATTTTTATGCTATTTTGTTGTGAATTTCAGGTGATATATTAGGTATCTGAGGGTTTTTAATTGCCATTTCTGAAACAACAAATTTCAGGTTTTTTAAAATTTGTAAAATAGAAATACTTTTTATTTTCATAAGGATTCTCTACACAGTTCTGAAAAATGTCATTGGAGAATTTTTTAAAGACTTCATACTACAGAGTATTGATAAACAGAAAATAATGTCCTCACCCGCTTTTGATTTTATTGGTTAAATTCTTGAAAGTTGTTACTAATACAGAGCACTTTCAGAAATTAAATTTGGTTCAAATGGTAGGGACTATTTTGTATTAGGCAAAAAAAAAAAAATAAATAATAGTCTTGTTTCCTGCTACACGACCGACCCTATATTTTTGCACCAGACCCTTAAGTTTTTTTTTCAGTTTTGGGAAAAAAAAATCGGGAATTTCATGTTCCAAAACTGAAAAAAATATATATTCAAGTGGTATTTCATGAAATTCTATGTTTTAAATATGGATTTTCATAAAATACCACTTGAGTTGTGCATCAAAAGACATGAAATTTAACTTTAAAAGATAATATTGACCTCTGACATGTTTAACCTGGTTTTGTATTAGTTCATATCCAAAAAATACTGTTGGAAAAAATAAAAGAATTTTCCTACCTAACTACCCTATTTTTTCAGGCTGGTAGCAGGAAACAAGACTATTATTATTATTATTTTTTTTTTGGCCTTAAAAGAAGTCTGAGAAAAATATGCAAACAACTGAAATAAGAGAAACTTTATTTTGATTAAAATTAATATCATTCAAGTAACCTTTGAAACATGTAAACATTGAATTTTATAGGCAGTCTGAGTCAAACTGATAGAATGGTCTACTTTTAGCTCTGACAATGAAGTAGTTTACGAGATTTTATTTGAAGTAAAAAAATGTAAGCTTCCATTGTTTTGGGTCAGTTGGTCTGATCTTTGCCTTTGGAGGAATTTCGAGCGAGCATTTGGTGGTATGCAAAATTAGTAACTTGTACAATTTTTGTTTCGGAATTATCATTTAAAGTTTTTTAAATTCAATATTACAAATTAGAATATATCTTTAATATGTTGATAATTATATCATTGCATATAAATACTATAAATTACGTTTAATATTCAGTATTCGGTAAAAAAAAATTCTTGATTAATCTAAAGGAAGGAAAAATTACATGTACGATTCCCTGTTAAGGTATTTTAGTCTCGATCAACCAGACGCTCTGGTGTTGTAAAGAACAAATGCAACCAGAAAGAGTCTGGTTGAACCAAGAACATAAAAGTTTGTTTTGATACGTCATATGATCAGTTGGGCTGAAGGAAGATCTACCGAATGGTCCTAAAATGAACCAAGATATAAATTTGGGCTCACACTTTTGCTTCTTATAGCGCTATATCTGTTAGAGATGCACCAGACCGACCCCTAAGTAAATATTTAGTGCATCATTTACAAAAGTTGTGCGCCAATGGCACAAGGGCGCAGCCCAAAGTGATCTCTGATTTGTATTTAATTTTTCCAATACTTTATGTCTGTAATAGAATTATGCAGAAAATAAAGCATTTTCATGGCACTTTTGTGAAAATCTGCATATAAATAGCTTTTATATCAAGGTGTTCTAAATAGCTTAATAAAGCTATATAGCTAATTCAAGCTATATAATATAGCTTGTATTAGCTATATAGCTTTATAAAGCTATTTGGAATACCTTGATATAAAAGCTTTTTCACAAAAGTGCCATGAAAATGCTTTATTTTCTACATAATTCTTTATATAGTATATAGATCTAAACCAAGAGATTGTGCTTGAGTTTCTTTGTGTGATGTGTGTCAAAGGTGCAAGTTTGATCTTAATACAAGCGCTTTGGTTTTATTCATATGAATATATTTGACACCTAACAAACATATAAATACATATATCAGGTACATATCAGGGGTAGACAAATAGAATTTTGCATTACTTGCCCTCGGACAGGTTACCATCATAAAATTACTTGTCCTACCAAAAAATTTGCTTGTCCGACCTGTTTCTTGATTTAAACAAAATCATTAACATTAAATTATTTCTCAACTGAGACACTACACGGGAATCAACGTAGATCTAAAATCACTAAATTTTCCCAGATTTCTTTCGATATTTTCAGGGCATTGGTAAAGTCAAAGTTTCATTCTATTCTCCTCAAAATTCTTCAATAAGATACTCCCTATACTTTCTTTGAATAAATTTAATGAAAAAGGTGAAGATGATCTCAAAAAACCTACAAACGAGACAAATCTGTGAACACTACTGCATGCCGATTGAGCTATGGACTTCATGACTATGTGATTGCCAATCAACAACCAATTTTAATAACAGTAGCATGTCTGTATTCACAGAATGAATTTAATATTTTGTCAATAAAAAAAGTCTAAAATCCAATTCAACTTTTTTGACGACAGCGAAAGATGTCATGTTTTACGACTTGTGTAACACATTCATGGGTAAATTCTAGAGAATTCATATTCAATAGTGGTCAACAGCAGCGAAAACAGATGCTTTGTTGTGATTCATGATATTTTAAAAGCGGTAACACAAAAGACATATTGAGTATATGATTTTTTGTAAATGGGAAAAAACACTTGTCCGCGGGCAGGCACCACTTATCAAATAACTTGCCCACTAAACAAAATTGGTTGTCCCGGGCGTCGGGCAATGCTATTTGTCTAGCCCTGCATATTATGTATTAATCATATCACTACTACAAGACCCAAAACACTAACGTTGGCAGCTGGTTAGTGCTTTTAAAATACAAAAGACTAATGAAATGTGGCAATTTACCTTAACCAATGAACATAAAAGGCAGGCCCTTAAGTTTCTTTGATCCTTTGGTACTGTTTCAAGCGACATTGTCTACTAGCGTTATGAAAATTTAGCCGATACCTGTGAGTTGGTCAGATGTCTTTGAACAGCTTAAATTAACTATTCCGTTAAATGATTCGGATTCAAAATATACGTTGAATATTTCATGACAAGATATAAGAATAATGAATTAATATTTCACTTTTCATTAACTTTAATATAATTATGAAAGTAATAAAATTTCATCTTGATATAATTCATGTTATCAGTTTTTAAGTCTAATGTATATTTAACCGAAACATTACACTTCGACTTATCTAATACGCGCACGAATATATTGAATTTGTGTTGTTAGTAAGTTTAACTAATTCAAAATAATATCCAAGTTTATGTAATATGTGATAAATGTAATGAAACTAAATTATATGTTTTTATCTAGTTGTATTAACTCTGGAGTTTATCAAAACTTCAAACTAACTATTTGTTGACCTACCGGAAGTCGCAAATAGAAGTACATGTGTGTTGTTTGGCAATTTTAGCCGAATTCTCCCTTTGAACGGGGTTTATTTTCTGGGTCGTTTATGCCGTAACTATCTATTATGCAATACGACCTCTGTTACCCGAGCGTGACATAATTTCACCGTAACTTTAATTATGTGAATTACTAAGTATGATAGAATAAGATTTATTCCTTTCACGCTAGCGACAGAAAACATGTCTTTTTGTGGATCTAAAAACAAAGCTAGAAGTGTTGCAGAGGGTGTTGTGAAGAACGAATGCTTTGTGGATGTTCTTAACATTGTGCCACATGCAATATTTTTGCTTGTCAGTTTGTTTATATTGATTGTGTGGTGCAAGTCAAAGTACTACAATGCAACAACCTGGGTACATTTCACAGGGCACAATGTAAGATGGTTTTTTTCACTTGCTTTAATTATCATAGTCGGCACAGAAATTGCAGAAGGGTTTATGTCTGATGCCCAAGATCCTGACACTGTAAATTACCATGTCTTCATACCACCAATCATTGCCTTTGTAGCAACTATACTGACTCTTGTTTTCTACCATAACATAGAACAGTGGAATTCTCCAAGATTTTTATTGATAATCTTGGCATATTGGATGTCAGTGTTGCCAATTAAAATATTGAAGGGTGTTTCATTGCACAAAAATGGCATATCGGTAGCCCATGTGAGAGTGTGGTTGACTTGGATTGATGTGGCACTCTATGTGATTTTACTGACTGTTGAACTCAACTTACTGAGAGTACAAGTAAGTGAAAAGTAGAGCAGTGGGGGCTATTTAAAGAAGAATTAAATCTGTCCCTTTAAATTCCAATACCAGACCTAATTCAATGTACATGTATTTAGTATTTTTATTGACCTTATTTGATAATTGAGAAAAGTTTTAATACAGTTTTTCTCATGTTTTCAAACTCTTTCAATTTGTACAACAGAAATATGCCTTCTTCAAAAATCCAGTGCCAGCAAAAACCCCACCTGATCTTGGAGACAGCAAATTTGTGTTCAAGCATGTGAACTTTTTATCAAAAGTAACATTTTGGTGGCTAAATGGATTCCTTTCAGATGGTTTCAAGAAACCTTATGAACAAGAGGACCTTGGACATTTACCAAAGGTTTGAAGTTACACATTTTAGCAAATGCATGCATATTAGTCATTGAACCACTCCTAGCTTTCTACACCATATACTCTGTGAAGGTTATCATCATTCTAGATGAGTTACAACAGAAAATAAGACTGTTAAAATCACTGTATGTGGAGGACAATTGTTGAGAGCTTTTGACAGAATATTGATATGAATATTAGTCAATGTGATATGGTTCTGATCATAATTTTGCATATTATTAACTATATAATTTGTCCAAAATAAAAAAGATTAATTTAGACACATAAACTAAAATTTCATGCTGTATGTTAGCATACGTGCCAACTTTCGAAAATCTGCATGGGCTATTTCGTGCATTTAGTTTTGGAACATTTTGTCATTAAAATGAATATTTGTCCTACCTGATATATTGAATACTTAGTATCATATTAACACAGGTTTAATACCTTGATTTATTCTCCATAAACTTTAACGAAAATTAAAATCATCCATGATTATCATTTAAAAGAAAACCCTTACCCCAAACCAATGAGTTATTACATATTGAGTGACTACTCTGAGCATATTTAAAAAAGTAGTATTAAATAAATAAATTTAATTCCATTTAAAATTTGATTTGACAACTTGAACACTGAGTATTTGCATGTATCAACTTATAACACCATAACTTAATTCAGGACTATAGATTTGAAATGAGACTTTGTTATTTCATCTTTCTTTACTGTCTTTATAGTTTACAAAAGAAATATAGCTTTTTCGTGTGAATATTTCATCCTCTTATCTTCCAGCAAGTGCAATGCTTAGATTTGGCTCTTGAATTAGTTAGATAGCCTAATGTCATGAAAATTGGTAATTATTAACATACCTCATTGTATACATGTTGATAGAGAAGTAGTGTTTCATGTTTGCATATTCTTGGTCAGTATTGATATTTTTTCTAGTGAATATCAAACAATATTAACCACCTAAAGAGTCCATAATTGTATGATATTCAGGTACATGTACTTCTAAATTTTCCAACTCTGTTGAATAATTGTACTTCTAGAGTGCATACTCCTTGCTTTTATTATCACAGGCACCTATGGACTCCCCCCTTTCAATTTATTTTTCTTTTTAAATCTGGGGTCAATACATTTTTTTCCTCCTAGTATATTCTAATATGCATTACATGTCATTGACTATATAACCCTTTTGTCTCTGTGAGCTGTTTTTAAATATCTCATTTTCGACTGTTACATAAGAAGAAACAAAAGGTTAATTTATTGATAACATGTATTATTATACCTCTATTAAGAATACTCAAATTTGATTGGCTTGTTAGAAGGCTTTTAAACTCAATAATGACTCCAAAAAGTACCGTTTACAGCAATAATGACCTAGGAATCACTGCACGTGGGGTATAATGACCGGTCAATAAAAATAATGACCGCTAAAAATGACCTGTTAATCCAAATTCCATTCAAATTTAAAAAAAATTATGCATACAGTAATGATTGTACATTATAAAAAATGCCGTTATAAAAATATGTTTAGTATTTTTAGGATATGGAACACGATTGACCTTTAGATGCGTCATAAAACATTTATCGTTTTCATTGAAACTTTCGTTACAATGTCAAATTCAACGAATTCAGACTCTGCTCTCTTGTACAGTAAAAGTCTGCACCAGATTGTCATTGTACTCAGGAAAGGTACTTGTGACTTTATAAAAATGCATGTTACTGACAATCACAGAGTGTTTTAATACTAGTAAATCGGCGGTGCAAAAACTTACAAGACTTGCACTTTGCAGGCGAAAAGTAAACAACTTCACTAGCGAATCCCGATCCCGATGGAACACTGATAATAACAGTTCGCAGGTCTAATTACACAATTGATTATTTTAGTAATTAAGCCTACAAAAATTGCCTTAAGGTCAAGATCTAGTAAATGACTTTAGACTGTCTTTTTGGTGCTAGATCCATTATGACGTCATAAACAATTTAAACTTTCCTTTTCCCGTACATTAAAGCTCAAATAGAATTATGAAGAAAATAAAGTATTTTCATGGCAGTCAATTTGAAATCATGTGAAAAGTAATCCCGATACCTATATTCAATTTTACATTATTTTAAAGAAGAGGCTAAGAACATACAGAGTACCATTTTCTGAGAGACTGTAGGCAATCTGAATACATTTCCTTTGTCTGATATGGAAAAAACTCCAATATTCATGACTGGCTTTCTTAATTTTTCATTAAAAATGACAGTTTACAAAATGATTTTTTGTCTTGTTTTCCTACAAATTATGCCCCGATACACCTTATTTGACCAAGCTATAGTTATAAAGCATCATAAAAGGAATTTATTTCTCAAGTTTGAGAAATCTGTAGGCTCTTTTCATTTACTAGATCTTGACCTTAATATATATCGGTATAATAAAACAATTGATTACCCTTTATGAGTTCAACATGGTGAAATAAGGACCCTCGACCTGGCCCACTCGCTGACCTGACCTGACCTCGGCCGCTACGCGGCCTCGGTCAGGTCAGGTCACCTCGTGGACCAGGACTTGGGTCCTTATTTCACCATGTTGACCTCATGAGGGGTAATTAATTGTATAATGTATATTAGAATACACAATTAGGAAAAAGGTTGTCGATCCCAGAAATCAACAAAAAAATTGGAAGGGGGCATACCCAAGTGCTTGTGTTATATACTGTATATGGCTTTGATCTTGCAGGATTTATCATATCATATAAAACCCCAATATGTTCAAGTTTGTTTGTTTTTTTTTTTTTGTTTTTTGTTGTTGTTGTTTTTTTTTTGTCTTATATTTAATGATATGAAATACAATTTGGTAAATCCATTATATAGTATTATGTAAGAATTTATTACTAAAAGTCTTTTATGATACAACACTGCAAGTTAAGGTTTTAGTAGCGAGATTTTTTTTTTACCTACATGCTACATAATCATGTTTGAATATGTGAACAGAACACTGTATTGTTGTATGACATGTGAAATACACATTCACATACTGTAGTGCTGTCATTGAAAGAGGATTGAAGTAAAAAGAGGTGACAAAATGGAATGTTCCATAAATAATACAGATAAAAACCTGATGAAATTTTGAATGATGTATCTTACATCTGTCTTATGTTGTCAGCAGGGTTATCAGTTCAGATAAATGAGGCCCATTTCATCATGTTGATATAATTTGTTGTGTGCTAATTATAATATATATTTTTATCATTATTTAAATAGGCAAGTTAACCTAAGGAGTGATGAAATAAGATCTCAATTAAAATAGCTAATAACTTGGTTAACTAATTCATGTGATAAAAGAACTTATTTAGCCTGTGACGGATTCAGAATGCTGTTTGTTTTATAAAAAGCATTGAAGGTGGAGACTGACCACAGTGTCAAGTTTAAACATGTTGACATTATTGGAGGTCGAGTTCTGGTTGTAATGTACTCGTTTCATTGATAAGGGTGACCTGCCCTCAAGAGGGATTGACAAAATGGATAAGTTAATAACTAGGACTTAGATATACAGGTGCAGGACTTTTAAAAATGGTTAAGGAAATGTAACACTCCTTAAAAAATATAATAAATGCAAAGACTAAAATCAAATGTTAAAAAATTAAATGTTTGGAATTGAAAACTTGAAAGTATACATGTTATAGCGGAAAAAGGAATTTGAGGTGTAAAATCTTCAAGGAATCATCAGCTGGTCTCCTGAATACAGTTGACTAAGGAATCAGCTAGCACTTTAAACAATTGAGCCATCTAGATAGAGGATACAAATATAGAAGACACTTAATGTAGGACTGATCTTTAACCCTTTACAATTGTGATGCACTTCCATCTGAAAATTAAAAAAGAATGTGACAATGTGTAATCCCTCTATAAGGCTCATTATGATGAAATCGTGGTCATCAGATTGCTAATAAACCTAAAAATTTGAAAGTCAGCAAAATAGCAAATCATTTTGATAATAGATTGTATGAATTAATGGTTGTGGCTATGTTGATGTTATAAGATCATGGATATCATTTTCTTTAGTTTGATGATTTGCCTTTGTCCATTGATTGTAACTTTTTAATACCAGTAAAATTAAATTCTAAACAGAGAAAGATCTGATAATAAACATTAAATTATAGTTCAGAGAAATATTGTGAGTATTTCTAGATAGATAAATACTTTTATCATGTTTATATATCTTCAAAAGTATTTTTTCTAAACAAATTGAAGTTTTGAGTGCATTTATAACTTAATTTCAGCAATAACAGACAAACATGACTTAACGAGGTTCGCTCCTGAGCTTTTGAGCAGATTTTTATCTTAACCTATATTTCAAAAATTCTCCATAATGTTTTAATTCTTACAATAAATTTGGATTCTACAATGCCAATTTAACTATATTCAGTTAAAACTCCATGATTGAATTCCATACCAAAAGCATTAAGTGAGGAACTATATTTTGTGGCGGAAGGTTTTTTAGAAGAAAATGATCATTTTTTCTCTTTTGAAGTATCTAAAGTATGTTAAGTTTGGATTCCTATTTTAACATGCAGTCTGCACACATAGTTATTTTTTTGCAGTGGACTGTTTTATACTGGTCCTAAATTATCTATTAAATAAACTGTCATGAATTCTATCATCATATTTGATAAATATAGCAAATAAATTGTGAAAATGAAGAAAAAAATAGCCCTAATTTAAGCTTAAAATTAGCACTATTTTAGTAATAATAAATATCTAAAAATTAACATCACAGACCCCCACTTTTAATTTTCTTTTCTGAATATATACGATACTCTTTACCATTCTTCTTAAATTCAGTAAAATGTCATTACTTTCAAATGATTTTTTTGCTTGTTAAATTTTTAATGCCAGAAAAATGAAAATGTTTGAGTGCAAAAAGGTCAAATAATTGAACATGCGGAGTAATTTGAAAATTTCTTCGTTGTCATAAATTTTAATGTGTCTATTTAAGATAAAATAAGACTGTTTTTGTTCCCATAATTTATTTGAACAAAAAATATTGAAGGAAAAACTTAAAAATTGATTTATGTGTAAGATGTATTTTCAGTGCAAAAAGGTCAAACTAAATGCTCTGTAGCGCCAAAAGAAGTGCATTGACCCCCATTTTTTGTTTTGATTTTTAATACAGCTATGTGTATAAATTCTAAAAATATACTTGATAAAAATTCTCATTACTTTTGATGACAGGATCCAACCTCCTTAATAACAGATTCCATGAAGACAATAAACATCAAATACATGTATTGTCCACAAGGTTTTATCAGAGTGCATTTATTATATATATATATATATATATATATATATATATATATATATATATATATATATATATATATATATATATATATATATATATATATATATATATAAAGCACTAAAAATGACCAATGACAAATAGAAATTGTCAAATTTTCGGAATGCCCTGTCCCTTCCTTAGGAGAAAGAAAAAAGTTAAGAATTCATAAAAACAAAGGAAACAGAAAACAAAATACAACTAGCACTACTACTAAACTACCAAACACTATGTATTTACAATGTTAGATGTTTAATTTGAAGTTTATAACCAGTTGTGAAGAAAAAATTCCGGGCCGCTATGCAATACGTCCGGTCATAATATTTCATAGCGGCCCAGAAATTTTTCTTTTAAACTGGTTATAAACAATCAAATGTAAGTTTTGATTAATCCAAGTGAACCACATAATAAATCATATATGATGACTACATAATTTGCCACGAGAAAGCCTAACTGATAATGTATTTTTCTGTTAGTTTTAAGCAAAGATAAGTCTGTAAACTTTTATTAGCACCTTTAACCAAATCAAATATTTATGTGAAAGGTTTAAAGTACTGCATACTTATAAAATAAAGGAGGATTAAAACCTTTTTATTTCCAGTTATTTTGTTTATTGCTTTTAAATTATTTCATCAAGTTTATAAGATTAAATCAAAGGCAATCTGCTGCTACAAGTGATAGTTAAATATAACCAAGAGTGTGAATAATCCGAAAATCTGTCAACTTTTACTGCCAGAATTTTAGTGCCTTGTGGGATTTGACTTTGACATAAGGAAACTGGAAACACTACACACTTATTGTAGGGTAGTTTTAAGCAATTCCAATAATCAGCCCTTAAATGTGTAACCAGCAATGAGAAAAATATGCTGGAAAAGACCAGGACTGGAACCTGGTTCCCCTGAATTGCTAGTCAGGTGTTCTACCAACTGAGAAAGATCTGGCCATCAGCCATCAAAACTGCATGCTTGACTGCCACAGTAAATGGGAATCTACCATTAATGACAAAATTTGTAATACATTATTCTTAACATTATAGAATATGTTTATTCACCAATCAAGGGCCCTCAGGGGGCATATACAATTATTTCAGAATGATTACATATAAATAATATTAAAGTATATTGTAATATGAAAGAATATAAATCATATCTATCATGAGGGTACAAATGAAAGATGTACAATATACCACGAGTACGATACTCATGAAAATGCAAGATTTGCAACATAATCACAATAGTCTGAAACTGGATCAAAAATATTGAGTAGGAAGAAAACTGAAGGAAGATAAAGAAATTGACAATAATAGCAGTATGCTTAAATACATGTATATAGTGTGGCTTGAATACAGAGGGCACCAGGGGACGATGCCTCTGCACATGCAGTCAATCTTACTGACACACCTGTACCCTAAGTATTCATTATATTAAATGAATACATGATTTATATGTTTTTTTTCCATAGTAAGTAAACATTGATGATTTCTGTTCATGAATACTTCATTGTCTTTGAACATTTTTCCTTGAGAAATATAGCAGCTACCTTACACTGAAAATGAACTAGATAAATTCAATAGGTACATCTTTATAATTTTTCAAAGTTCATAAACGATTTTTTTTCATTAGTTTTTAGAGCTAAATCATGATATTATAAGTATTATATTGGATGTGGGTAATGATTTATTTTATTTTCCAATATGAATACTAATGCCCATTTTTTAAAATTGGGTCAGATAATTTGGTTTATTAGGACAAGCAAACAATTCTAATTTCTTGAGAAAACAAAATAGACCTTTTTGACTTATGGACTCTATGGACACTATTCGTAAATGTAGCCAGACCTATGAGGAAAAAAATGAAAGAATTGGGTCTGTTTGTACAGCTCTAATGTTGATGTTATCAAAGTAAGGTATCATAATGGTAGGTATATGTCAACTGTATGGTTAATAGGTTAACCACTTCTGTGTTAACATGTCAATATTTAATGGTCTCCTTAGCCTTTGAATGATTGACTCTATCAATGTCCAGTGGAGATATGAGTGATACAATTGTCAATCATTAAGATTATTGATATGAAGATCAATTTTTAAATAGCTTCATAAAACTTGCATATATTTACTTATGGTAAAACCCAGCTGAACTAAGTCTGTCCACTAAAGGTGAGGTGCAGTTACTGATAATGATGGAAAATTTTAAATTATTAAGTTTCTAGTTGAAGACTGTAGATCTAATCATCACTGCACAACGAATACAAAACAGAAAATGCATGAAAACATGTTTAACTCTCATTACAATTATCACAAAGTCATTGTACTCTTTATAATAGTATTGTAAGGTCAAGGTCATTAAATATTAGTTGTGACACTAGTGATGATGATATTCCCACATATCACCCCAAGTAAAATGACAAATGTCCTGGTATAGAAAGGATTGCTTTAAAAAAAAAAATATTGATTTGACTCTGAGATTAAAGATGAAGTCATATATGAGTAGTGATGGGACTTGATACATTGTCTTCTGATGATACACTCAATATGAAATTCCATAAGCCTAGATTGAACAATAATGCAAGAAACTGTGGCCCTGATAGGATTCTATGAGGAGAACAAAACTGAGAGGAGGAAGAAAATTCTGGGTAAAACGCTGTCTTTATTCATCAAGGAGGAAAACGAGAAAGTGTTAACTTTCATAATGACATACATGTATTTCAGAGCTGCCAACCCTTACAGTTTTGGTGTAAGCTTATGATTTGAGAGTCTGAGATAGGACTTACAATTTCTCTATTCTTTTATTCTAAGATTGAAATGCCATAAAATCTCATATTTTTGAGGGGTCAAATTTTTGTGGTTTGAGGAAAAAATGTTGGTTCGTGGGGTTTTGATTTCATGGATGAAGAAGTGCAGAGTTGTAATATATTTGAAAATTTACATTTGCAGGACATACAAGTGGAGTCAGTGTATAGAAGATTTAAGGCTGTATTTGATGATGAATTGGTAAGTCTGCTAACTTAACCTGCTATCAACATGATCTAAGCCATAGGTCTCTAGCTCAGTTAGCAAACATTTTTAAATATGTTTACATATGGAAAATGGAGTGGAAAAAAAGAATACTGAGATTGTAACTCAATCTAAAGTAGATTCAATTCACACAAGTAAAATATCAAAAACAGTAAACAAAGTTCTATACGGACACTGAATGATTCTTCTTTTGTTCCATGCTTTGCCAAAATACATGTATTAACTTTGGTTTCATTCTAGATATATTTTTAAGTTTATGTTGTTACATTTACTGTATTCACATATTTATCTTATTTGCATCAGTACAATTTTTCTCTCCTCTGTAGGACAAAAGTCAGAAGAATGGCAAGAAACTCAATTTCCACAAGGTGTACTTACGAGTCTTTTGGAAGAATCTATGTTTGGCTGGCTTTCTTCGTTTTTTCGGAGACATCATCCAATTTGTTGGACCTTGGTGCATTGAGCTGATTATTAATTATGCGTATGAACAAGTGAAACTCAAAGAGGATAGCCATCTAACCAATGGCAGCTCGGTTGTGTCTAATGTCTCCCAGGCTGTGGTCCTGTACAACATCTCCTCAGCATCCAATGGCAATCAATCTATTGTCATGACGATGCCTCTAAATATGGTAATTTGAAGATCCTTTGTAAGGAATTGTGGCAACTATTATGATTTTGAGATTTGTTTATCCAGCTGTGCAATTTTTATAACATTGATATTAGTTACAGTGTGTATATATAGTTTTTCTTGCTTCAATTAAATTTACCACCTGTACAAAAGTTTAAAATGTATAACAGAAGTCAGGCATTTCCTGATTACTTAAATCACTACAACAGTGAACTTGGAAAAACAACAAATTTCAAAACATGGCTAAAATATTGATTGCCTTGCAGGACATTAATAGTTATGTAACTGCCAGTGAGTTCATTTCTAATGGGTATGTCCTGGCCGCGGGGCTCCTGATCCTCACCATCATACAGAACAGCTTGTGGCAGCAGCACCATTACCTTGTTATATTAGAGGCCGCCAAATTGAGGGCCTCCATTCAGGTACATCTGCACTAGGATTTTGTTGTTTTATGTATATTTTTTTTGCCTTGCAGACTATGCATGCTCGCCACATTACTGTTGCGGATTTTTTTTCCAATGGTTATGTGGTAGCTGTTGTACTCATACTAACAACCACAGTACAAGCTGCTTGTCATCAGTTCTATGGATTTATTTCATTAAATACGGGGGCCAGTTTGAAAGTTGCCGTACAGGTACGCTTTCTAATTAGAGCACTGCTTGATTCCTCCAAGAAAGTCTAAAATGTTCTTTTTCTCATACTATTGCCAAAACAAGAGCAAAGCAAAAAAAAAAATCAAACAAGAAATATGATATCTTCATTATTTAGATGAACTGAAAATGATAAAATAGCTTTCTGATCCACTTTGAGTCTGTTGTTTAACTTAAGGAATAACTGTCTAATTTTTTGGTTTCATGATGTGATCAAGCGATTGGCTTGCTGATAATTTGCATAAGCGCCGAAGGCATTTATGCATTAAGTTATCAGACAAGCCAATCGCTTGATCATCAGATCTGACAGTTATTCCTTATATTTACATGCTCTTGATTCCGTAAATTCACGTGCTACATGCCCCGCTTACTTCTGTCTCTCTCTGTCCCGCTGCGAACGTGATTTTTTTTTAACCACGCCTATCAATGAACCAGTAGCTTTATGTAGAAATGAAGTATTTTTACTATTTGTAGTTTTATCTCGGACAAAGAAATTTTAAAATGTAAATATTTTTTCTATATACTTGGCAGCTAGAATTAGATAAAAGCTGATAAGATCTAAATAAAGCTAAATAAAATGAAAAGAAGAATTTTCATATGGAATGATAGTATTGGGTATCTGTGCTGAGTAGGTTATATTTCAGCCAGTCATGTTTTTGAAGAATGTAGTGTCAGCATCAAATTTTCTTCTAGGAAGGGGGGATAATCAGGGTTTTAAGTCCTGACAAGGTCATTAAGAGGGTCAGAAAGGTCAAAGATCAAAACGAATAGAACACCAGTGTCAGAACTGTATTACAAAAAAGTGTTAAAATATGTGATCGATGTACATGCATTTCTTTCTCGAAGTGTGAAATCAGAAAATTATACAATTAAAATTTGTGGAAATGTTTTACAGTATTTTGTGATATAATGCCGCTGTGGTCTAATGTAGTTAGAAATCTAAGTGTGTATAATATTATTAAGTATCAATGAATTTGTCCTTTTTTTTTTCATTGTACACCAGCAACCATATAGTTGAGTGCTGATGGTAAGCAGCATAACCTTAAAATCCTCTTAATATTTAATTTGTACTGGGATTAAACATATAAGCATGTGTAATATTTAATATTTACTGGGATAAAATGTATATGCATGTATAATGTTTTTGCTTTGCTTAAAGTACATCATGTATCTTTAGTTTTAAAAATGTCTTGGTATTCCCATTTACTTGACATAATATATATGTACTGCATTGTTATGCATTCTTATATATTACAGCAGTATATATATTATTTAAATTTTTTAACATTACACTGAATATTTTTTAATGTTTCACACACTTTGTGTTATCAAATCTATCAAAAATTCTGGCACTGTAATAAATCACCCACAAACAAATATGTCATGGGATCTGGGCAACATTTAATGTCAGAAAATTTAATACTTTTAATTTTTTCGTTCATTCAATTGCTCACCCAGAAGGGGAGAGCACCGATTCTGTGTGAGGCTTGCTATGATGCACACTATTTGTTAATTTCTTCATACTTATTTTTTTCTTAAAGGGACATCATGACACATTAACAGGGAAATTGACAAACATTGAATTTTCACATGACCTATGCAAATCTTGTTCAATTCCTGAAAGTATTAGGTATCAGAAAATTTCAGGTTTTGGAACCTAAAAAATCGATTTTTATGGAGGAAAAAATAATTTTTGTATGGCCCAAGACGAAAATATTGCTTTACTTCTTCCTCCTTATTCTACGCGTCACAGAAAAGTTGAAGAAGTTACCATGGTCTCAAGTACCAATGGATGAATGTTGGTAGACCAAGAATTTAGATACAATCTTCAAAAAAGAAAATTAGAACATATTTCTCACCTTTACATGCTCCAATTGAATGTTGTTTATAAGTCTACGCTAAAAAAGTGGCTTGACCTTGACATGGACGATAACAAAATGGTACATACAACCTTTGTTTTTCCAGCACTTATATTGTGCAGTCTTTTCTTGCTTTACAGTGCAGTTTAGTTGTCATATCTTCTCTATACTCATAATTTTCATAAACTTTTGCTTTATGATATAGATGTCTTAAAAGAAACACATGATTTTGACTCATTATGTAACTTTAATGTGGTAATAGAAAGATAAACTTTGTGTCCTTTCTTATTTAGATCTGAATTATATTTATTGTGGCATTCATTTTCTGTCTTAATTTTCCTTGTACATTCTCACATATAGAGTAGTTTTTAGCTAGATTGTAATCCAAAACATAGTCTCTGGATTGACGATACATGTCTCATCAATTTAAGTTACAGTTAATTAATCTGTCTGAGTCAACATATTTGTTTGCCTTTATGTTTTGCTCGTTTATTAGTGAACTATTTAGAGAAGAATCTGATATGTTCCCACATGGATAAACTGGAATGAGATGTTTTAAATGGAAACATTAGAGATGAACTTGACATTGGACCTTGAATTAAGTGAATGGAACCTATCTCTGTTGAAGTTGACGTCAGAGTTGATAAATGGACTGTAGTCATACCTTAAGATTTCTTGCCATTTTGAATACCTAATTGTATGTTGACTTTTGCCTTGCCCTTAGAATTGGGGGATGCTTTGGAGGGGCACATCTGTCTCCTTATGTTACTGACCAGATGACATAGGACTGATCACAATATTTATCAAATTGTTAATACTTTGCTGTCTAGCCATATTGTCTAAAATGGGAAATGTATCTTGTTGCAGATTTTTACATTGAAAACAGATACAAGTATTGCAAAAATGTTTATGAATCTAATTTGTACCTTTAAAGAAAATCTCCTAACGCTGTTTTATTTTGTTGAATTAAAATGCAGTTGAACTTCAGTATCTCGAACACTGATATCTTTTAAAATACTATGGATATGTCAAAGTGAGTTGGGAACCCCAACTTTGTATTTCCTTATGTATTTTAACCTCAATATATCTGGAATTCTTGATATCTCAAGAGTTTTTTTTTTGGTCCCATCAAGTTTGAAATAACGAGGTTTGACTGTACCAAAAAAAATGTATGAAATTCAATATGGATAACAGTATTGATCATAAATCTTTTCTTCACAAATGTCAATTCAAACACAAAGATTCTGACTGCTTAATAATAAAGCATAATTAATCTATTTGAACACAGGCGATGGTCTATAACAAGGGTCTCCGTCTGTCTGGGCTGGTGATAAACTCCGGGAAGATGACGATGGGGCAGATCATTAATCACATGTCCCAGGACGCCACCAACATGATGATGTTGTTCTTCTTCATCCACTACATCTGGAGTGTTCCACTGACGGTGAGAACATTCTCCATCTTCACCAAATAAATTATATTTAAGCTAAGTATTGTGTGGCAGGATTTGTCTGCCCCCTTTTAGCTCACCTTGACGAAGTCGAGATGAGCTTATGCTATACCCCCGGCGTTGGCGTCGGCGTTAGTGTTGGCGTCCCGGTTAAAGTTTTAGGAGCAAGTCCCATTCCCAAGTAACTATAAGCCCTACCTGAACCAAACTTGCATGGATGATGCTTCTAGGGATGGACACTACCACACTTGCTTCGGATGCTGGATCTGACCTAGATTTTCCAGATGAGTGACCAGGTTAAAGTTTTTGGAGCAGGTCCATTCCCAAGTAATTATAAGCCTTACCTGGATCAAACTTGCATGGAGGATGCATATAGGGATGGACACTACCACACTTGCTTCGGATGCTGGATATGACCTAGATTTTCCAGATGGGTAACTACGTTAAAGTTTTTGGAGCAGATCCATTCCCAAGGAACTATTAGCCCTACCTGGACCAAACTTGCATGGATGATGCATCTGGGGATGGACACTACCACACATGCTTCGGATGCTGGATATGACCTAGATTTTCCAGATGAGTGACCAGGTTAAAGTTTTTGGACCAGGTACCCAATTATAAGCCCTACCTGGACCAAACCTGCATGGATGATGCATCAAAGGAAGGACACTACCATACTTGCTTCAGATGCTGGATTTGACCTACATTTTCCAGATGAGTAACTAAGTTAAAGGTTTGGGAGCAGGTCTATTCCCAAGTGATTATTTAAGCCTTACCTTGACCAAACTTGCATGGATGATGCTTCTAGGGATGGACACTACCACACTTGCTCCGGATGCTTAATCTGACCTAGATTTTCCAGATGAGTGACCAGGTTAAAGTTTTTGGAACAGGTACCTAACTATAAGCCTTACCTTGACCAAACTTGCATGGATGATGCATCTAGGGATGGACAATACCACACTTGCTTCAGATGCTGGATCTGACCTAGATTTTCCAGATTAGTAACCAGGTTAAAGTTTTTGGAGCAGGTCCATTCCCAAGTAATTATAAGCCTTACCTTGACCAAACTTGCATGGATGATGCATCTGGGGATGGACACTACCACACTTGCTTCGGATGCTTAATCTGACCTAGATTTTCCAGATGAGTGACCAGGTTAAAGTTTTTGGACCAGGTACCTAACTATAAGCCTTACCTGGACCAAACTTGCATGGATGATGCATCTAGAGATGGACAATACCACACTTGCTTCAGATGCTGGATCTGACCTAGATTTTCCAGATGAGTGACCAGGTTAAAGTTTTTGGAGCAGGTCCATTCCCAAGTAATTATAAGCCTTACCTTGACCAAACTTGCATGGATGATGCATCTGGGGATGGACACTACTATACTTGTTTTGGATGCTGGATCTGACCTAGATTTTCCAGATGAGTGACCAGGTTAAAGTTTTTGGAACAGGTACCTAACTATAAGCCTTACCCTGACCAAACTTGCATGGTTGATGCATCTAGGGATGGACACTACCACACTTGATTCAGATGCTGGATCTGACCTAGATTTTCCAGATGAGTGACCAGGTTAAAGTTTTTGGAGCAGGTCCATTCCCAAGTAATTATAAGCCTTACCTTGACCAAACTTGCATGGATGATGCATCTGGGGATGGACACTACTATACTTGTTTCGGAAGCTGGTTCTGACCTAGATTTTCCAGATGAGTGACCTGGTTGAAGTTTTTGGAGCAGGTCCATTCCTAAAAAACTACATGTATAAGCCCTACCTGGACCAAATTTGCATGGATGATACATCTAGGGATAGACACTACCATATTTGCTTCAGATGCTGGATCTGACCTAGATTTTCCAGATGAGTGACCAGGTTAAAGTTTTTTTGGAGCAGGTCCATTCCCAACGAACTGTAAGCCCTACCTGGACCAAACTTGCATGGATGATGCATTCTAGGGATGTACACTAACTAACCTGCTTCGGATTCTGGATCTGACCTAGATTTTCCACATGAGTGAATTTTAACCATATTTTAACCAAATTAGCATGGATGATGATGTATCTAGAGATGAACACTTCCAGACTTGCTTTGGATTCTGAATCTAATATTGATGGATATTAATCTTGGGATGTACACTAACTAGGAAAAATTAAGATGCGAGATTTGCCTTACTTATAGATAACATTCGTCGAGGTGAGCTTAGTAATCTTTGATTACCTATGTTTCTATTTTCCTTATGTTTAAGCTGGGTAGTAAAGATTAAGTAATACATGTTTCTATTACTTTAGATTGTGATAGCACTGGTGTTGATGTACATGAAAATGGGCTGGACAGCCCTCATTGGTGGGTCTGTAGTGGTGATGTCGGGACCACTTCAATACTTGGTGGGACGAGGCATGTCTAATATGCAGAAAAAAGTCATGGTATACCCATATTTATAGAAAGACTTTAAATTAAATCATTTCCTTCTCTATACTGACAGGTAGCTATACCTTAAAGATATTAACAGGAAGGTAAAGAATTGATCTCAAATTTAGATAAAACATACCTGTACTTTGTTTGAAATATAGACAATAGTCAGAAATAAAACTGAGAGAGGCAGTTCCATTTCCTGAGTTGGTTACCCTTGAATCATTTATTTACTGTACATAAACAAACTGTAATATTTAAAGATCATGCTCATATTGAGGATCACATAGATAAAGTATAGGTTTTTTCCCCTATTACTTGTAGGCACAATCTGACAAGAGGGTCAAAAAGTGTAATGAGGCTATTCAAGGCATAAAGGTCATTAAACTGTTGGCTTGGGAGTATTTCTTCAGACATGAAATTGAGGCATCAAGGAAGAAGGAATTGAAAGTTCTCTTTATCAACAGTGTATTCAGAATTCTTTTCAGTAAGTCAAAACTGTGATTTTGAAAAAAAGAGTCCTCCTATGATTTCATAAATCAATTGAATGGCTCTCTGTAGCAAGGGAGACAACTCCCTTGACATCGATAGAATAGAGAGAAACAAATACCGAAAATTAATAAAACAAAAAGGGGAAAAAAAATTGTTTTGAAAACAGATTAAATGTTTTATGTTACACTGTAGCTGAATGAAAAGTAGTACATCAACAATAAATTCTTTTCTTTATGCAGCATTCATTCTTGTTGCTGTGCCAACCATAGGAACCATGGTGGTATGTATGAATACAATTTCAAGATTTTCAGTGATGATTTATACTGTGTTTATTTAAGCGGTAATCATATTTTAGTGCTGCTTCCTGTCCTTTCATATAAGTTTACACCAATATATGATTAAAATAAATACAATTAGCAGCTGGGCTTCAAATGCACTAATTAATGATTGTGCTAATCAGTTGATGAGGAAGACTGTGGTAAATTCTGAATGTGATAATTTATGTACTTTTACAGTATTTAAAGCATATTAGTCAGGAATCGACATTAATGGTTGTCCGATTGCCCGGGGCAAGTAAATTTTCTGTTCGGGCAAGTGAAACTATTGATGTACTTGTCCGATCAGGCAATTAAATATTTCTGATAGAAGCATATATCTTTAAACAAAACAATAAATTGAACACTTGATTTCCACCAGAAAAGTGACATCATTTTTGCGTTTGGGAATCTCTTAGCATTTCTAGAATATAACATTCATTCAAAAATTTGGTTTGTTATTCTGTTTTCTTTCATTGTAGTTGACAAAAAGAATGCTTTCCATTTGTCAACTTTGTTATTCTTTAAACAAAACAATAAGTTGAACTTACATATACACAAATGACTTCTTATAAAATGCAAATTCAGTATTTTCAAATTTCAATTTTAACACTCAGTAAATGACCCCAGGGGACTTGGATAGGGCCACAACGTTGGGTCAAAGCAAGGTTAAAATAATATGCAAGCATCCCCATGTTGATTAGATCCAAATTTGTCATGGCCTGTTGTATAGGTATTTCATCATAATAGGGGATCTATAGAGGAATATCTTGCATGTGGCACTTTTTAACCTGATTTTGGGTAGAGACATTGATCATGAATTTAACTATGTTTGATGCCTGACTTTTTTCTCTTGCAGACTTTCCTTTTATACCCACAACTAGAGGATAAGCCATTAGATGTTGGGAAAGCTTTGTCAACTCTGGCATTATTTAATATTCTGACCCTCCCCATGGCTCTTTTTACACTGTTTTGTACAACCTTCATCACAGCCAGGGTCAGTATGAAGCGTCTTCTGCGTTTCCTGCTGGTCGAGGAGACAGAGGGACTGGGGGATAAGACTAAGACTCTGACCCAGAGTGTAGGGATTGATACAACAGATCCTGAGGTAAGGTCTGTTTGGGCAAATATTTAATTACTTAAGGGAGAAATAATGATTGATGTTATGAACAAGTATTCAATGATTTGGATGGGGGAAGAGGGTATATTTATTCTGGTGATAAAAGATTATTCTAAAATTTAAAATGTAATTTTTAACAGTTCGTTATTACAGTGTAATACTATGTTATTAAGATACTACCAACTAAATCTCAGAAGTTTTCCTCCATAGGATATAAAATTGGACACTATTGTGGAGTATCGTAATGGTACAAAGAAGACCTCCACAAGTCTACATAAAGATGACGATCTCAGCAGTAGTCAGAGTTCATTAGGGAGTAACCTGTCTCGGACCCCGTGTCACAGCCGACATAACAGTAAGGGATCACTACGGGAGATGATGGAGGGAAGCAGAAGACACAGTTCCCAGACCACACATTCCTCTCACTCAGGGACAGGTCACCTGTTTAAAGTATTCTGTAGCCTTAATGCTATGTATCAATTGTCTGCCTCTTCAGCTCAAAGTAGCATATGAAGTTCAAAAATCATTAGTAGAAATACACATGTAATTTCTTTTGTCCTTTATGAGAGATCTGGACATGCATTTAAGATTTTGCAGATGTTTATTTAGTTTTTTATAACATAACAGCTCTTGCGGTGGTAGATGGAAAGGAGCCACAGCGTGGACGCCACACCAGCGGGGTTTCCACAGAAGACGAGGAAGAAGTGGCAGAACCTCTCACAGTTATAGAGGCAAAGAATGTGTTTGAGATCGTCAATGGAAATTACTCCTGGCATTTGGACAAAGAGGATGAAGTAGCGCTGAAGAATATCAACGTTAAAATTCCTGTCGGGAAGCTGACAATGATTGTAGGACAAGTTGGATCTGGGAAGACATCACTGATTTCAGCCATGCTGGGAGAAATGACAACTATTAGTGGGCATGTAGAAGTTGCAAGGTGAGAAAAATGTTAAACAAACCACCTATCAAAAGTAATGTCAATTTTGTTTATAACACAAACAATTCCAGTAATGTGAACAAACAAAAGACCTTATTATATTAAAATAGAGTTGTTAATGAAATTATTTTTGATACATTGTTGCTGAATTTGTAAAAAAAAAAAATACTGTATGTGTACTTAAAAAAGTGGGCTTCATATTTTAGCACCTTTGGCACAGACAACAGTGTGCTAATTAATGGTTACCATTAATAAATCTTTAATAAATACAATCCAGGCGCAGACGTATGTAGCGCTAATGGGTGAATTAAAAAAAAAATGACCACCAAACTGAATTTTTTTGGCAAAATTCAACTTCTTATAACATATTTTTCACTTATATCATCATATTGCAAATGCATTCTAGTTTAAAATCCTGAAGTGGCAATAGAATAGACAATTGGATTAAATAGTTTCAGAATTTTTATGAGTAAAATTTCTTTTGAAAAAATAAAATATCATTACACCTTAAAAGACTTTCTAAAATACATAATCACAAGAAATTATAGTTTTTTATGCTTCAAAATGGTAAAAGGGGTATAAATGATTAAATCTAGACCTTGAATGAGTATCTTCTCTTGTACATGTGACAAAAAATTGGCTTTTTGATTGTTATTTTACATTATTTTTTCAATTCTGGTTTGAAAAGTTTTAATATGAAAAAAATATGAAGCAATAAAATTCCCCAAAATTCACTTTTTTGTCCGTTCAAGTCAATTCTTTAAATCTAAGCCAAAAAAGAATTGTTATATACGAGTTCTCTTACAAAAAATACTAGATTTTGAAGTGACCCTGTGTTACATTATTGTGTTGCACTCCTGACATCTGATATGTATTTTATTTAACATTGTTTTAAAAATTATAACACACAATAACCCACTCCAACTTTGTAAATCAATTTGTCGTGGTGATATTTTTCATCGTTTACAGAAGGTTTTTCATATTTTGAAGACCTTAAAACATGGTTATTTGCAAAGGGTAATATATATAAATTTTATTTAAAATATATGTGAATTGATGAAAACTATTCCCTGAATTGACTGTAAAATTTCTGTAATTTGTTGATAGACATAGTGTTTTGAACATCAAATAGTATCAAGCAATTTTTTTCAACTTATTTTTTAGTAAAGATAGTTAAAAAGCATCGGTAATTATGAAGCAGTTTTGTTGCACTCCTGACTGCAGTAAAGTTTAAAATTAAAACCATAGAACACAAAAATTCATAAAGTGTTGGCAACATCAAGTGGTAATGAAATTGTGCAATACTTATAGTCCAATACTTCATAATTAAAACAGATGAAAGTATCTGTTTTAATTTCGCAGAAAAAATTCGCATTTTATCTGGAATTATACCCTATTTTATGCCAAAAAACTAGCTTAAATGTATATTTAGAATATAAAATATATTTTAAAGCATATTTTCCTTTAGAGGACAAACACAGTAACCCACCAGAAAAATTCTACTCATCATTTTTTCTTTATTTTTATTCTTAGTGGATGATTTATAATTCTAACATGTTTGTTGCACTCCTGACCAAAAACATTGGGGCCTTTAAAGTCGAATTGTGAAGTGAAAATTACTTAAGAACTTGTTCTGTTGTTTCAGTGAAGTTGAGGAGGAATTACTTGAATTTAATGACAATGTTTTAGTGTGTTTATTTTTAACGTTCATTAAAAAAATCACAAAAAAGATAAAAACACATCTGAATTGATAAAATTGAAAAAGGAAGGATTTTAATAAAAAAAACTATCAATAATTTAGCATTAAATTATACAAAAAGATCATTATTAATTAATGGATACCTCTAAGCATGAATAGAAGTCTTTTCGACACACAACTTGAATCTTTAAAAAAATGTGTTGCACTCCTGACCATAGAAATATGGATCTGAAGCACAGACAGATCCTGTAATTGATAAATCTTTTTGGTAAAAATGTTCTTTGTGTCTTTATTTTCCAAAATAAAAATCAGAAAATCATATAATGATAATAGTTTTTTCATGCTTGGGAGCAAAACATCAAATGTTGCACTCCTGACATTTTTGGGTATGCACATATACTTGACTCTCATTAATGCTGCTTGTGATTTATATAACATTTTTAAGTTTTAAAATGTATATCAGTTGTTATTTTACACTTCCAAAATTCTTTTTTGTCTTAATTTTCTATCAGAATTTTACAACTGATGTTTTTTTGGCAACACTACATTTTTTCTGTTGCACTCCTGACATGGTATAACATTTTTTTAAACATCAGTCATGACCACAACTTGATTAAACAAAAGTTATGACAGTCCACATTTAAAGCTCAATACTTTGAATATTATCAGGAAAGTCTTTATTTTCAACAGGAAGCATTGTTTTTTATTTCACAGATCTCCAAAAAATATTGAAATTTCAAAATGTCACAAAAAGGTGTTGCATTCCTGACAATTTTAGAATCATTTTTGGTCATAACTTTTTTGTTAATTGAGATATCAACGAGATATTTGGCAGGTATTTAGACACTATCTAAAGACATATGCTGAGACATAGAAATCTATTTTTATTGCCTGTATTTTTAGTTTGGGTTGATAAATATGTGTTCGGTCATTTTTTTTGAATTCACCCTAATTCATGATTATGCCAACCACTCCATACCCAGTGATTGCTCTATATTCTGAATACACCAATTTATGTACACATACAGTAATAGGTATATTGAAATTTGTGAATGATCTCAATCCCTTTTCAGTGCAGATAAATATATTGAGTTATATATGTTAATCTGAATTAACTTTGATTTCAGAGGAGTAAAAATTGCTTATGTGCCACAGAAACCTTGGTTACTGAATGCTACACTGAAAGACAATATTTTGTTTGGACAGCCATATAACTATGGAAGGTAAGGATGGCACACAGAGGAATATTTGTAAAACACTTTTGAGAATACAAAGGAAGAAAATATAGAATATACAGCATTTTATCCACTGATTTTCCATTGAAATTGCTGTCTTGATTGATTAACAGGTACACAAAGGTAATCAGTTCCTGTGCTCTCCAGCCAGATATTGCTGCACTACCTGCTGGGGACCAAACAGAAATTGGGGAAAAGGTTTGTCTATACACAGGTGTCATACAACAGTTAGATACATGTATATAAGGTTCAGTTTTAACATACAGTCATAGGAATTCTATAAGTGCTTTTCTTGTCAGCATTTGATGATGAAGCTCTGTGTTGTAGGGTATCAATCTGAGCGGGGGACAGAAGCAGAGAATCAGCATAGCTCGAGCTTTATACTCCAAAGCTGATACTGTTATACTGGTAAGTTACTTGTGTCATATACTCATAAGCTTATACTGTCTTACAGGAGATTTCTCCCTCCTTTATTTTATCCGTTAACAAAGGTATTTATATATATATGCATGTTTAAAATTAAAATGTGATAGAAATTTCTTATGATTTATACATGTGTATCTACCAGGCATCATAGCATGATACATACTTGTGTATGTTAACAGGATGATCCATTGTCAGCTCTGGATGCTCATGTTGGAAAGCATGTCTTTGAGGATGCCATTGTCAAGCGCTTAGTCAGGCGGAAACGTTCAGTCATCCTTGTTACACATCAGTTACAGTACATAAGTCACTCCAATCATGTAAGTCTTTTGTACCAAGCTGGAATTAAAATATTTAGGAATAATTAACTGAGGAATGGTATTGTGGGGTTTACCTGATTTACTTGTTGGCTTTACTTGATTTAGTCGATGTTGGGTTTACTTGATTAAGTTCATAATATTGTTGGGTTTACTTGATTTAGTTGATAAGTATTGTTGGGTTTACTTGATTAAGTTCATAATATTGTTGGGTTACTTGATTTAGTTGACAAGTATTGTTGGGATTACTTGATTTAGTTGATAAGTATTGTTGGTATTACTTCATTTAGTTGATAGTGATGAAGGATGGAATGGTCCAGTACCAGGGTGCACTCAGTGAAGTGAAGAAACAGGAACCTGAGTTGTATGAATCCTGGAGGAAGGCCTTAAGGGAGGCCAAGAGCTCAGAGTCAAGGTCAGACTCAGTTCTTACTATAAATAAACCTTTATTTGTATATTTTTTACCATTTCATGTTATAATCCAGTAATTTACCTTTTTGCGTGAACTTATTATATGTCAGCTTGCTGATAATATATTTGAAAAGAAACTGGTGTACTGATAAATTCTCAAAAGTATTTGTGTATTTTTGTGCCATACTGCATTGGTGTATTACTGCAGCATACTATGGTGCAGTATGGTACTGCATATATGTTAATTTTATTAGTATCAATTTATGTGAGGGGTATAAATTTGCCATTGTATTATGCAGTCGAGATCATCATGATGAGCCTAAATCCCCGGAGAGTAGTCATCCATTTGACTATAGTAGACAGATATCCATACAGGTAACAATTAATGCTTTATATTTGCACAAGAATAATTTTTCATTAATACCTTCAGACCTGTTTACTCTTACGATTTCGCCGTATTTTGAGTCCAAAATACGTCTCACGTTTTGCTATTATAAAAATACGGAAATCGGAAATCCTTTTGTTTGATTTTAGCAGTTAGTTTTCTTTATGATCTCCCTCACTTTGATGCTTTTTAATCGGTAAAAAAAATGAAAAATTTCGGGCTGCTAAATCACGGTGGTTTTAAAAAAAATAACAGAAATCCTCCAAAGAAAGCATTATGTTTTTCTTTGTTATTAAACCATGTTTTGGTAATAGGAAATGTAGTTATTATCTAGCAAAATCAATGGAAAGTGGAATCTTACGGGCAAATGCCAAATCTCACTGACGAATCTAATAAAAAATACTGAGAGACAACAATATGGGTAAACAGGTCTGTACCTTGCATATTTTCTGTTGTACATGTATTTCCATTTTTAAAGCACCTCGTACAATTATTTTGTCTTGCGATATCTAAAGAGCCTTGAGCCTATTAAGTACAGAATTAAAATGATATAACAAGTTAGTTATTCTTGTTACTTCCAGTCTGTTCTCTCTGGAGGGAGCACATTTGGCAGACAAATCTCTGAACTGTCCAACATGGAGGAAGAATGCATGGACGCATCAGAAGAAGGTAGATTTTATGGAATTTTTTTTTATGAGTCGAATTGTGTTCGATAGTCACCCAGAAAAGACCTATGGACTCTTCTTGTTTTATTGTTAAAAAGTGCAGGAAAAAAATCGTTTTAAATTGCATTAATGACTATTTGTGCCAAGTTCTTTTACAAATATGTTTATGCTTCAGATCCTCTGAAGAAGCCAGAGAATCAGGCAGGACAGCTGGTCCAGAAGGAGAACAAGGAAGTAGGGGCGGTGTCCCTGCGTGTGTATCACCAGTACGTGCTGGCCTGCGGCTGGCTACTGATGATTTTTATGATTCTACTACAGATTGGCTATCATGTGATGCTGGCATGGAGCAACATTATTCTGTCCATGTGGGCAGAAGATTCTACAGAGTTTCAGACTGAATTATCTCTCCACAGTAGCCATAATATGGGAAATGAAACAAGTAATTTGAGTCTGGTGAGAATTCCAAAATAACTTTTGTGTTTGGCCAAAAGTATTTTGATATATTAAATTACTTTAATTTCATTTTTCTTTAAATCTTCTCACCTTTATAGATATAAGAGGTATGATGAACCATTTGTTTGAATAAAAACCTTATAAATCTTTAAAAAAAAAAATACACATGTCCATTTTAATTTTTGTTGTAGAATTTTTTTGTGTTGATTTCAGGAGTTTGATAATGATAGCTACATGAACAAGTATCTAATGTTTAATGTGGTCGGGTTGATAGGGGCCTTTATAGCTAACATGGTTCTCTATCTGACAACACTGCGTGCTTCCAAAAACCTTCACTTCCGACTCCTGGACACAATTCTCCATGTTCCCATCAGGTAAGAGGCCAGATAAAATAGGGGTTTTATGATTCTCATCTTGTACAGTCTAATGCATCACTGAATACCATGATACCAACATTGATAATTAGGAACCTAGTTTATCCTTTCTTTTGTTAAAAATAATTCTGAATCACATTAATATTAATGGTTTTACTTCATATTAATACATGAAGACAGAATTTTGAGGTTGTACACTACAACTTAAATAGATGGGGTTTTTTTTAATTGAGTAAATATGTTTTAGTAACCTTAGTTCACTTAAAAATATTTATTTCTTTTTTATTAGGTTTTTTGATACAAATCCAAGTGGCCGAATTATGAACAGATTCTCTTCAGATGTGGCAGGAATAGACCAGGTAAAAAGTTAAAAGAGAGAGAGAGAGAGAGAGAGAAACAGAGAGAGAGAAAGATGTACATCATTAAAGTGCTGTAGTTCATTAGGTTCCTTTCAAAATCTTGGTTCCTTTGATAAATTTTTTAAGCCAATAGTATTTTTAAAATACAGTTGAACTTCTGTATCTCGAACACGGATATCTTGAATACCATGGATATGTCAAGGTGATTTTGAAGTCCCAAGCACTTATTTCTTAAGTATTTAACCTTGGATATCTCGAATTCTCGGATATTTCGAAGTATTTTCTTGGTTCCGTGAAGTTCGAGATAACGAGGTTTGACTGTATACGTGAAGATGCTGAAAGATAAACAAAATTTGTAAAGTCCATCATTGTTGAAAATGTACTTTGAATGATAACAGAAGTATTGATACATGTATGTACACAAAAAAGACTATTTCTCAAGGCCTACAGTGTGTGAAATGATGCAGATTTGTTCAGCGACTGTAATATTTTATGTTTCACCTGTTTCAGTAGCACCTGGTGCATGATTTCATTTTCCTCTGAAAGCAAGCATTAAAATCAGGGTATTATTCTGGAAACTACAGTAAATGCAACTTTTAACAGCAAGAATCTGCATTATTGTCAATTACTAATTAGGGAATAACTATCTTCTAATTTGGTATTTGCAACTGTTAATGCTGATTTAACGGTCACAAACTGAGTTTTACCAGCGACACGTAAATCCCTTCTAATGCAATTTTTGCGTTTTATTTGATTTTTAGGTCACCTGAGTCACTCAGGTGACCTATTGCTATCCGTTTTTGTCTGTCGTCGTGCGTCGTCCGTCGTGCGTTAACTTTTGAACATTTTCAGCTTCTTCTCTAAAACTGCTCAACCAATTTCAACCAAATTTGGCATATAGCATCTATGGGTGAAGGGGAACAAAAATTGTGAATTTCATGGTCCCTGCCCCCCTGGGGCCCCAGGGGTGGGGCTAAAACCACCAAAATTGATGCAATCTTTAAAAATCTTCTTCTTTACTCCTGGACATCAAGCAGTCAAACTGTTGGCATGATTGTAATAAGCATTTGACCCTCTACCTAAATTGTGAAATTCATGGCCCCAGGGTCAGGGGTTCTGGTGCTAGGGTGGGGCTCTATTGATTATATAGTGAAAATGCATTATTTCTTTGAAAATCTTCTTCTCTGCTCCTGGGTATTATTTAAACAAACTAAGTGCAGGGTTATGACAAGCAATGATGCCTCTTCCAAAATTGTGAAATTCATGGCCCCTGGGTCAGGGGTTCTGGTGTTGGGGGGGGGGGGGGGTCTATTGATTATATAGTGAAAAAGCATGAATTCTTTGAAAATCTTCTTCTCTGCTCCTGGATATTATTTAAACAAACTAAGTGCATGGTTATAACAAGCAATGATGCCTTTTCCAAAATTGTGAAATTCATGGCCCCTGGGTCAGGGGTTCTGGTGTTAGGGCGGGGCTCTATTGATTATATAGTGAAAAAGCATGAACTCTTTGAAAATCTTCTTCTCTGCTTCTGATATTATTTAAACAAACTAAGTGCATGATTATGACAAGCAATGATGCCTTTTCCAAAATTGTGAAATTCATGGCCCCAGGGTCAGGGGTTCTGGTGTTAGGGCGGGGCTCTATTGATTATATAGTGAAAATGTATTATTTCTTTGAAAATCTTCTTCTCTGCTCCTGGGTATTATTTAAACAAATTAAGTGCATGGTAATGGTGCACAACCTGACCCAGGGGTTCTGGTGTTAGGGCGGGGCTCTATTGATTATACAGTGAAAATGCATTAATTCTTTGAAAATCTTCTTCTCTGCTACTGGGTATTATTTAAACAAACTAAGCGCATGGTTTTGATGCACAAGGATGCTTTTTCTAAAATTGTGAAATTCATGGCCCCAGGGTTGGGGGGGGGGGGCTCTATTGATTATATAGTGAAAATGCATTAATTCTTTGAAAATCTTCTTTTCTGCTCCTGGTTATAAAGTAAACTAAGAGTGTAGTTATGATGAACAAGAGTGCTTCTTCATGAATCATAGCCTCTAAGTCAGATGTCTGGTGTAAGGATGGGTCTCTATCGATAATATAGTGAAAATGCATTAATTCTGTTAAATAATCCTGTCTGCTCCTTAGTGTTGAGCAAATAAATAAAGTGCATAGTTATGATGAACAATTGAGCTTCTTACAAAATTTTAAATTGGGGGGGGGGGGGGGGGGGGCTATATTTGTTTATAAAATGAAAATGTGTTAATTCTTTGAAAATCTTCAACTAAATGCATAGTTATGATGATGATGAGGGTACCTCTACCAAATTTATGAATTTCATGACCCGGGGACATGGGTGTTAGGGTAGGGGTGTGTTAAATCTGTAGTGAAAATGCATTATTTCTTTGAAAATCTTCTCTGCTCCTTGGCATATTGAAGACGAACAGAATTAAAGTTTTAATAAGCTAGGATATTTTTACCAGATTTTTGAACATCAGGACCATTTGGTAAAGTGTTCTGGTCCTAGTCAGGGCTCATGACCAGATAGACTTGTAAATAATAAATAGATAAAAAAGAGACAAAAATAACTTATTAAATGTTCTTCAAAGACCAAGAGAGGCCAATGTGACAGGTTGCGATGTGGGGTTAAAAGTAGTACAGAGGAACTATTAGTTTGTTAATAGTCTGCATGGTGATAGTGCTAAATGGGGAATAAATTAGAATTTAATGTATGAGTTGTTACTGAATACTAGACTAATTATTTCATTGATTCTGATCATCCTGTTTCTCTTGCTTTTGGGCAACAAAGCTTCATCTATCAGTTTATTTTATACTCTATGGATCCTCTAAATTGTTGTATTATACTCAGGTGACCGTTAAGGCCCTTGGGCCTCTTGTTACATCTTATTTTGTCAAGTTTTTATTTATATGAAATATGTCATGGAGCGTTGTGTTTTTGCGTGCTCTATTATGACATCACAATCAAAAGCTTTCACTCTTGTTAATGCTCATTTTACTGCCTCAAACATCAGTGCATTAGCCAATCAAAATTCATTTTACAAAACAGTTGCATTAGAATACATAATGGAAAATCAGTAAAGGTATATTGAATACTATATGCCTAGTACTTCAAGTTTATTCCCATTTTTCACAACCCCAAAAAATTTGTTTAAAGACCATGGCTGTTAGTTCATTTCTGTTTTTCAGAGGTTATCATTTATACTGGAGAGTTTTACCCACTGTATAATTTCTGTTTTTTCAGAGGTTACCATTTATACTGGAGAGTTTTACCCGCTGTATCCTCGTGACATTGTCGGCCCTGGCTGTCAATGCTATAGGAACTCCGTACTTCCTGTTGGCTATCCTGCCTCTGATGATTCTGTATTACTGCTTCCAGTACTTCTTCAGGGCTACAGCACGGTAAACAATCTACATTACCACATAAAATTTTCTTTGTAATTTGATAAAAAATATTTTGATAGAAGATTCTAACAGTGCTTTTCTTTTCATGTAGAGAGCTACAGAGAATAGAGAGTGTGACTAGATCTCCCGTCTTTTCCCATTTATCAGAGACCCTCAGTGGTTTACAAACAATCAGGGCATACAGGTAAGGGAGGTAATACAAACACATCAGTACACATCTGTCTGTATTATATAAACACTGTATCATATTTATGATTCTACAAGTTAGTTGATGATTGAGATGAGATCTTAAAATAACTGCATATTAAAAGCATATTTACAATGGCATATTTGATGTAAATTGTTTAAAAGTATGTTTGATCATATTTTACAGAGCTGAGAGAAGATTTAAGAAGAGAGCTTTTAACTTAATTGACAGTAACAATGCACCTTACATTTTCGTCATGACTATAAATAGATGGCTAGGAATAAGACTAGTAAGTTTCTAGTGGACCGTAAAGTCTTGCATGTAGTTCATTTTTTTCTTATTGTATAAATCTTTTCAATTTAAAATTTTTCTGTATGTTAAAGTTTGGCCTGAAATATAATCAAACTCTTTGTAGACATGAATATATGAAAAATCATTGTGGTATGAAATGTGAGGAAATTTACCTGAATTTTTCCTGCCAGACAGTATACTTATTAACAATTTATAAAACAATGCTCTTCTTTGTGAAATAAATTAATATGAACTATAATTTGTTGTCAGGATTACATAGGATCAATTTTGGTGTTTTTATCTGCTGTGGCCAGTCTGACCACCTGCCTCGCTGGACAGACCTCTCCTGCCTATGTGGGACTGTCTCTCACCTATGCTTTACAGGTAGGAAATGTCTTCACTTCATTCACACTGTGATATTATTAGCCAGTCAAAGCACTGTGAATTTCACAGTGCTTTGACTGGTTAATATTGTCATCTATATAAATAAAAATTCCAAATGAATATTTTATTTTTCAGAGATTTGTTTTCTCAATTTATAGATGTCAGTTTCAAGAAACTCAAAATTATTTTTCGTGTTGCCTTGTTGAATGTTTAAAAAAGCTGAGCAGTATTCATACATGTTACTGTTTTGTTATTCAAGTGAAGAATCACACATCGTACTTTTTTCTTTCAGGTCTCTATTTATTTGAACTGGATTGTACGAAATGCTGCAGAGTTAGAGTTAACCATGAATTCTGTGGAGAGGGTAGATGAATTTATCCATCTGGACCGTGAAGTGAATACCCATCATAAAGGTTAAAGGCTCATAGTCATGACTTACATTTTATTTCTTAAAGATATGGTAACATGCTTCTAGTCAAGCTCTCCTTTGTTTGTAAATGTTATTGTTTTACATACATTTGAAAATTTTCAATGACTTCTCAAATATCACCTTTATTTACTACACTGGAACTGATCATTTACACTTTTGCAGCATTTCTGCTTTTCTGTGTTGTTTTCCAACATGTTTTTCTGAATTTTTAATTTTTATCTTTTAATTGTTAATCACAGGTCACCATGAACTTGAGAAAGGTTGGCCAGAACATGGTAAAATAGAGTTTAGAAATGTCAGCCTGAGGTATGATAAACACCTGGATAAAGTGGTGGATGGTGCCTCCTTCACAATCAGTGCTGGAGAAAAGGTGGGTAAGGGAGATAAATCCAAGGTAGGCTTAATTAACCTAATAAAACATTTATTTTTATTCAAGTTTTTTGAATTGTTTTGAAGTTTATAAAATCGATGCATTGTGATGTATCCAATGAAAGATTTAGTTTTATGACCCAGTACATATAATGTACATTGTAATTCTTCAAATTTATTAGATGGAGATCAAAATTTATCCCTGCTATTTCCATTCAGTGAAGAATTAGGAATCAAAGTTGTTTTTTAATATTTACCCTTGATTTTAAATTTATTTTAAAAAAATTAAATGTAACAAACTTTTTGTCCTTATCAAATTAAGAATATGTGATATTTTGTTATAAATTAAAATATAGATTAAATGATAGAATAAAGTAAAAATCCATTTTCCCTAACTTGTAGGTTGGAATCTGTGGAAGAACAGGAAGTGGAAAATCCTCTCTGACCTTGAGTTTGTTCCGCATGATTGACATTTGTGAAGGAGAGATTTACATTGACGGAAAAGACTCTCAGAGAGTTCCTTTAGAGGAACTGAGAAGTAAACTGGCAATAATTCCTCAAGACCCTGTCCTCTTCACGGGAAATATTAGGTCAGCTACTGTATGATATTAAATTCATCTGATTTTAGAGATCAGTGCTTAGAACATAGGATGCAGAATTTATTATGTGTGAAGATTTTTAATTAATTTACTAAAAAATAACATTCTTAAATTAGAGTTTAAAATATGATGAGTGCATTTTGAATAGATTTGCAAATATAAAAAAAATTGTAGCCACACAATTTCATAATTGTGGATTTAAACAAGTATGTATTGACAAAGCGTTAGAGATACTCAAGCTGTAGAGTGTCATAAATATTCTAAACTGACATAAAATGTAGGCTGTAGAGTTTCAACAACTTCTGTGAAATAAAACTTATGTACCAAAGTAAAATACATTTAGTGATTTTATCACACAGTTTTTCACTTGTGTGAAAATGTTAGAAAAAGTTTTGAAAAATTATTTTACCTTTACACTTCATATTACCTATTTACCTATTAAATATAGTTTCGGATTTTTAAACCAAGTAAATGACCTAGTATTGTTTTAGGTAACTCAGGCCCCTCTAGGGCTTGAGTAAGTTAGTTCATACTAGAAGTAAAAAAAATTTATTGAAAAACTTCAGGTATAACCTGGATCCTAAAGGAGAAATCCCAGATGAAAAGTTATGGGCTGCTCTGGAGACAGTTCAAATGAAAGAAGCTATACTAGAACTTCCTGATAAACTAGGCAAGTCTAGATTTTGTTTTTTCTTTGCCAGAGATAAATCTATGCTACACTCAGTGTACTTTTACTGCATTCAAATTTATGTATATTCCTTGTTGCTTAATTAAAACCAGGGAATTTAGTCTGCAATGAAAGTAATTTAGAATAAATTGGGGAAAAAAAATGAAAGAAAAGCTGCAAATTTACAACTGTGTGGGGAAAAACATGAAAATAAAAGTGAGATAAATCAAAGTCACATATAAACAGCATGAAAATCATCAGAGTTTGAAATGCATGGGAACATTTAACAGAATTTCTATAGAATTTCTGTTGTGCAGAGTTAATGGTGAGAAACCATTTTTAAAATCATTCCTATTCTTAAGTCTTTCTACTGTTTTTTTTAAAAGGTAACAGTATGTTTTTATGCCCTGCCATGAATATGGCTGGGGCATATATTGTTTGTCATGTCCATCTTCCGTCTTTCCGTCTGTCCTTCCGTCACACTTTGCATTTAGCTCTGTTCAAAGCTCAGTTTCAAAGAAACTATTCAAGATATTTTTATCAAACGTCAAATGCTGATAGATATTGATGAGAGCTATGCAACTGCGTCAACATTTTTTTACCTTGACCTTTCCTTTGACCTTGACCTCACTTTTCTTAAAATAGTATTTAGCTCAGTTTTAAAGATACCATTCAAGATAGTGTAATCAAACTTCATATGTTGATACATACTGATGTAAGCTATTCAACTGCATCATTATTTTTTGACCTTGACCTCACTTTTGACCTTGACCTCACTTTTCTTAAATAAGTGTTTAGCTCAGTTTTAATGAAACCATTCAAGATATTTTTTAGAAACTTCATATGCTGATACATACTAATGAGAGCTATTCAACTGCATCAATATTTTTTACCTTGACCTTTCCTTTGACCTGGACCTCACTTTTCTTAATAAGTTTTTAGCCCACTTTTAAAGATACCATTCAAGATAGTGTTATCAAACTTCATATGCTGATACAAATTGATAAGAGCTATTCAACTGCAACAACATTTTTTTTACCTTGACCTTTCCTTTGACCTTGAACTCACTTTTCTTTAATTAGTGTCAAACTTCATATGCTGATACATACTGATGAGAGCTATTCAACTGCATCAATGTTTTTTGACCTTGACATTTCCTTCGACCTTGACTTCACTTTTCTTGAATTAGTGTTTAGCTCAGTTTTAAAGAAACCATTCGTAATATTTTTATCAAACTTCATATGCTAATACATACTGATGTAACCTTTTCAACTGCGTCAACAATTTTGACCTTGACCTTTCCTTTGACCTTTCAAAGGAACTTTTCTTAGATTAGTGTCAAAATTCTTATGCTGATACATACTGATGAGAGCTATTCAACTGCATCAATATTTTTTACCTTGACCTTTCCTTCAACCTTGACTTCACTTTTCTTAAATTAGTGTTTAGCTCAGTTTTAAAGAAACCATTCATATTTTTATCAAACTTCATATGCTAATACATACTAATGTAACCTTTTTCAACTGCATCAACAATTTTTGACCTTGACCTTTCCTTTGACTTTGACCTCACTTTTCTTAAATTAGTGTCAAACTTCATATGCTGATACATACTGATGAGAGCTATTCAACCTCATCAATATTTTTTCAATATGACCTTTCCTTTGACCTTGACTTCACTTTTCTCAACTTGTGTTTAAGTTTTAAAGAAACCATTCATAATATTTTTATCAAACTTCATATGCTAATACATACTGATGTAACCTTTTCAACTGCATCAACATTTTTTTACCTTGACCTTTCCTTTAACCTTAACTTCATTTATTTTAAATTAGTGTTTAGCTCAGTTTTAAATTAACCATTCAAAATATTTTTATCCAACTTAATATGCTGATACATATTTTTGAGAACTATTCAACTGCATCAAAAACATTTGACCTTGAACTTTTCTGGGACCTTGACCTCATTTTACTTAAGAGGGCTGGGTGGTTGTGGCCATTTTCAGACTATACTGATCTCCTTTAGAAGAAGAGCTCCATATAAAGATATACAAAAATGATCAAATTTTAAAACTAAAATGTATTAAATTTTTCTTTGCCAAATGATAGTTGACAGCTTAAGATATAATATCTAAAAAATTAAGTTATATCTGATGGTTAATTTGTTGACCCCCAGCCTCCTTAAATTTGCTTTTTGCTTAATTTTAAAGAAACCATTTAAGATATATTTATGTAAGCTTATGCACTTATACATAATTTTGTGAAAATTTTTCATCTATATCCAACTTTTTAGATTTCAATTTCAATTTTAAAGAAACTATTCAAGATATTCTCATCAAATTTCATACACTAATACAAACTTTCATGTTGCATTACTAATATACCCTCGGCAGAGCATTCATGTCCTATGGACATAATTCTAGTTTTAAAAAGTTTTTGAGCATTTCACATGAGAGTCTAAAATTATCTCTGACAGATTAAAAAATTTTTGAAGGATTTCTCATAATTTGAAAATTGAACTTACAGATGCTAATGTGTCAGAGGGAGGAGAAAACTTCAGTATAGGACAGAAACAGGTATGTATGTTGTTGAGTGATGTATGTATATAGCAGGGATGTAAACTGTCAATAGGTCTTCACAAACTGTGGAATTTTCATTGTATGTTCGGACCAGTGCTCAGATTTTGTTGGTCATTTACATCCATATAATAACTTTGTTAATGTAGCATTTGCTTGAATCTTCTGTGTATACTAGTTACCCACAAAATTAACTCTCCATGATTGCCCCCCACAAATGATAATGATACCACAGTAACACTTACTGATTGATAAAGATTTTATGTTAACACAGTTTGTTCTTTATGTACTAAACTTTCAATGAAATTTTAACTTTTGATATTTGTATACTGTAGATCACTATATTTTTGCGACAACTTATTTTCGCAAGATAGCTATTTGGTATTTATTTTCACCAGCCTTGGTTATTGTTGTATATAATCCTTAACAATACAAATACATGTATACATGAGAATGAAATTTTTGCAAGCAAACAGAAGTGTAATTACGCAAAATTGAAGTTCTTACGAATAAAAAGTGATTTACAATAATATAGACAATTATTATGTGATAGTAAGACAACAATGATGTTTAGTACTTATAAAAATTTGCAGCATAATTTTTTGCAAGAAGGCGGAGTTCTTTTTTTTAAAGCTATATTAAAGTATGTCCTTATAGGGCAGTTCTAGGTCTATTTCAATTGGTTAATTAATGCCAGTTCTATAGTGTAGGAGTATCTATCTGTCAGACTAACAGTACATGTGACTTTTTTTTTCTCATGACTCCAGATAACTATAAGCACATGTACATAATAAATTGTTTAAGGATGTGCAGTGATTTTAAATAATGCACCTATCTAAGGCAATCTTTTATATGAGTTCTCCAAAAATTGGAGTTTGTCATTGAAAGTTGGTCTCCATCGAAATTGAAATGAGGTTGAATACTGTTGAATCTGTATTTTCTTGTAAAATAACACTGTGTGATTGTATTGTAGCTATTCTGTTTGGCGCGAGCATTCCTTCGTGATAACAAGATTCTGGTGTTGGATGAGGCCACAGCATCTATAGACCTGGAGACTGATAATAAGTTACAGAGGGTCATAGCCACAGCATTTGGAGACAAAACAGTCATTACTATCGCTGTAAGTCAATTTTACCCTCCATAGCCACAGCATTTGGTGACAAAACAGTCATTACCATTGCTGTAAGTCAATTTTAACCTCCATAGCCACAGCATTTGGAGACAAAACAGTCATTACCATCACTGTAAGTCAATTTTAACCTCCATAGCCACAGCATTTGGAGACAAAACAGTCATTACTATCGCTGTAAGTCAATTTTAACCTCCATAGCCACAGCATTTGGTGACAAAACAGTCATTACCATCGCTGTAAGTCAATTTTACCCTCCATAGCCACAGCATTTGGAGACAAAACAGTCATTACCATCACTGTAAGTCAATTTTAACCTCCATAGCCACAGCATTTGGTGACAAAACAGTCATTACCATCACTGTAAGTCAATTTTAACCTCCATAACCACAGCAATTGGTGACAAAACAGTCATTACCATCATTGTAAGTCAAACTTACCCACATAGCCACAACATTTGGAGACAAAACAGTCATTACCATCGCTGTAAGTCAATTTTAACCTCCATAGCCACAGCATTTGGTGACACCTTTAGGCATTTGATATGGATTGCAATATATGAGTCTTGATTCATTTATATTTGATTTGATTCAAAAACATATTATGAATAGATTTGATGTAGCAATTTATCAATTAAACTCAACCATTTACTGCTTTCATTTTTTTTTTTTTGCTATCTGAGAAATCTAAGAAAACCCTGCTCTACATATGTTCAATATTGTCCATTTTGTTAACATTTAGTTAGGCACTAGTTGATAACCAGTCAGGGAGCCCATATGGAAAGGAAACATGTATTATATGTTTTAACCAAATCAAACTGAAATTGACCCAGAATGAATCAAACATTGAATCCAGGACCCTGAAAAGCAAAATTGTTTCACCCATAATTTTAAGCTATATCATAATTTTCTGATCTTGACCATCCCTGTGACCTTGAGGTCACTATTCCCTATTTTGTGTTTAGCCCATCATCACAAACCACAGCCAAAATGTACCAGCCTTTCCCATTCTGTAGGAGAGAGCTATGAGTGGACCATGGCTTGACACAATGTTTGTAGCACAGTTTCAAAGTAACTATTCAAGATATTTCTACAAAAACACATACAGTTGAACTTTGTTATTTCGAACGCTGATATTTTGAATATTGTGGATATGTAAAAGTGATTAAAGTCCCAATCACATTTTCTTTATGTATTTTAATCTCAATATCTTGAATACTCGGATATAGCGAAGAATTTTTTTTTAATATGGCCAGGGCATATAGTGTTTGTCATGTCTGTCTTCCATCCTTCTGACTTTCCATCCTTCTGTCCTTCCATCTGTTCCATCACTCTTTGCATTTAGCTCATTTTCAAAGAAACTATCCAAAATATTTGTATCAAACTTTATATGCTTATACATGTACATATTTATAAGAGCTATTCCACTGCATCATCATTTTGACCTTGACCTTTCCTTTGTCCTTGACTTCACTTTTCTTAAATTTGTTTTAAGCTAAGTTTCAAAGAAATTATTCAAGATATTTTAATCCAACTTTATATGCTGGTACATATTCATGAGATAAATTCAACAACATTAGCATTCTTGACCTTGACCTTCCTTTCTTAAATTAGTGATTATCTCAATTTCAAGAAACTTAAGATATTTTTATTAAACTTTATATTCTTATGCATAATGATGAGAGCTGTTCAACTGCATTTACATTTTTTTTACCTGTCCAGTGATCATGACCTAACTTTTCTAAAAATAGTGTTAAGCTCAGTTTCAAAGAAACTATTTAAGATATTTAATCAAATCTAATATGCTGATACATATTGGTGAGGGCTATTCAAATGCATCAACATTTTGACATTGACCTTTCCTTTGACCTTGACTTCAAATTTGTTAAGCTAAATTTCAAAGAAACTATTCAAGATATTTTTATCAATCTTTATATGCTCATACATATTCTTGAAATCTATTTAATGGCATCAACATTTTTTACCTTGACCTTTGACCTTTGACCCTGACTTCAAATTTGTGTTTAGCTTAATTTCAAAGAAAATATTAAAGATATTTTTATCAAACCAGATATGCTTATACATATTGATGTGAGCTGTTAAATTGCATCAACATTTTTGACTTTGACCTCACTTTTCTCAAATTTGTGTTTAGCTCAGTTTCAATGAAACTTTTCAAGATATTTTTTGTGTTAGCTTATGCACTGATACATTATTTGGTGAGCATTTACCAACTGTGTCCAATTTTAATTTTGACCTTAACCTTCCCATTGACCTTATAATTTATTATTTATTGTGTATAAAACTCGGTTTTAAAGAAACTATTCAAGATATTTCATATTTGCATCAAACATACACTAATACAAATTTACTATTCAAAATATTTTCATCAAACATACACTAATACAAAATGTGTGTCGCATTACTGATGAACCCTTGGCTGGGCTTTCATTATTTCAAAGGGTGGGGGGGGGGGGGGGGGGTTGATTACTGATTTTGTTTGGAATTTGTGTTTTGAGGCACTTAGCATAAGAAAATTTTTAAAAAATGAAGAAGTATATAAAAAACTGACTTAATTTATAGTTCACTTCAGTCACTTGAACTAGAGCCTTCTAACTCAATATCTTAACTCTAGAAATGAGAGCACTTATTGATTGTATTTAATTCTTTTATCATTTCCATAATTTTTTTCAGCATCGCATCTCTACTATCTTGAAATATGACAGAGTAATGGTTCTTGAAAAGGGAATCGTGAAGGAATTTGACTCTCCTCAAAACTTGCTCAAGGACCCTCACTCCATCTTCACAAGTTTAGTGCGCAGCACAAAGAAGTGAATTAGGACGACATACCTGTGATATGCAACAAGCAATCATGTTTTACTTTCTTGACTAGTCCTTTAGAAAAGTTACTGGTATATCCTTTAATTTGCTTTCCAGAAGAGACTTATTAAGATTTTTTTCTTCAGGGTTTATATACAAGAATTTTGTTGTTTTTTCGCCCTACAAGATCAGGTCTAGTAGTCACCATTTTGTTCATTCATGCAATGTTGGATAGTGTTGGGGAAAATAAATTTTGAGAATGAAATGTGTTTGTTATCAAAGAGGGGGGAAAATAGGCAACATGTACTTAGTATACTAAAGGAAATACAAACTGGCATGACTTAATACAAAATAGCATATGTCAATGTTGAACTAAAAAGGCTAGTCATGATACCTGAAGTGCAATTTTTATTATACATTGTACTATAGAATATATTAACAGGAGGACATATTAAAGCATAGTTTTATGAAATGATCAAAATTGCATTAACGTAGTTCCTATAGGATTTTTTGGATATATTTTTCAGTCAGACTATCAAAAACCTTTATCAAGAAAGGGCATTATTCCACTAGCTGCTACAGTAGAATCTAAATTGCGTGAAACCTCTCATAGTAATTCACTAGCTGCTACAGTAGAATCTAAATTACATGACACCTCTCTCATAGTAATTCACTAGCTGCCACAGTAGAATCTGAATTGCACGACACCTCTGTCATTGTAATTCAGAACTGCTACAGTAGAATCTAAATTACATGACATCTCTCATTGTAAGGCATTGTTACATTACATGTATTTATGTCACAATCTTTTTCAAGTGTTTGATAATATAATTTTTTTTATATAAGTTTAACTTCTTTTTAATGTTTTTGTGTAAGAATTTTTCTTACCTGATTTATCACATTTCTTTTTCTACCATGTTATTGGTACAATTTTTTTTATTGCTTGACACAATGCAAATGAAGAATTTGTTGATGTAATAGTTAGTTTTCATTCTCTTCTTTGTAAATATAGTTGACATGTATCATATTATGTTCTCCAAATACATATATCTTTGTTAAAACTGTAACAATCAGAGAGAGAGAAATTCTCAGTGTTTGTTGTGATGTATAAACTGTATGTTGTAAGAGAGTCACATTATTTTATTCTGTCAAGGTCTTCAATATTAAAATAAAATATTTTATTGTTTAAACATTTAATTTTACACTGTTTTCAGTATAGAAATAATTGAGGTGCTACAGTTTACATTTATCAGTTACTGCTGAATATGAAAATTGATAGATATTTTTACATGCCTATCTTTAGATAGTAGTACTTAGGTATGAGGCTGTTTGTTTGTCTGTGAAGAATGCAGTCTTGTAGTTTGTTCATTATTTGCTGGGGGTTTTTGTGTAATATTTTTTTATTTTCAGGCTTTTTTTAATTTAAATGCTGTATTTATTTATTTTTTTCAAATTGATTTCAACTTTTACTGTGATTAATATAATTATGACCTAAAAAACTTAGAAAGAAAGCAGAACTAGGTTTTGTGAATCAGAGGATGAACTTATATAGCACTGTTTGTGGTACCCTTGTTATAAATTTTATTTTAAGCTTTTCTTTCTTTTTTTTTTTTTTTTTTTTGTTTCAGAATAAGAACAATTATAGGGCAAAGTTCTATAAAGTTATGAATAGATGGCATTGTCTAACAGTGCTGTCACAGCTTCTGTTAAAATTTAAAAAAGAATAATAAAAAAAAAATACATACACATATATATTTAAAATTGAAAATAGTTTAATTATATTTATTTTTATATGTAGATATTTTTAAGGTGACTCTCAGTTTAAGTATGTTACTGTTTTGTTTTCTTGTTTAGTTGTTTTTGATTAATTCTGTTGTTACTTTGTACATGTAGTTATATGGGTTTCGTGACCTCAATTTTAAAGGTCAGATGACAAGTGGTTCTGATGAACTTTTTTTTTATTTGTTGCATGTCTCGAAAAACTTTTGGAATGAATGTATACAGTGTATCCTGACTGTTTGCCAACATGTTGATGTCATTAAATTGAATTTAATGTAACAAAGTAATTGTATTCAGCTTTGTCTTTTCTGCATTTTTATTTTCATCCTTTTGGTAGTACAGAACTGTGCAATTTAGCAAAATATTGAATAAATACTACTAAATTAAAGAAATCCATGAACAGTTCTATGTGTACATGGAATAAAAGAAGGTTTATTTTTTAGAAATCACTACCATTATTTGTATATAAAAAATACTCTGACAAAAGGTTGTGAAATAAAGCAAAAATCAGCAAGAAATGTACACTGTAAAGTTGTTTGTTTGTCAATTTAATGTTTAAAAGTTTGTTACATTTAATGTTGACTTGTGCTCCTATCCTAGGTCAGACGAATGTGATTTTTTTAAATAGAAAATTGGTGCACTTTTATAGAAACATATACCCGGTAGTTATATTTTGTAATTCTGTGGCTTACCATCAAATCTAAGGTGCATCAGTTACACAGGCATGTATTTACTGGTCACTTGGAATCCAACCTAAGTTTATCTACTTTGTTGTAAAATTCAACCTACTAATTGCTTTTTTAATGGTCACATTTGCATATTGGAATATTCCACTTTTATATTCACTGTAAGTTCAGTCAATTTTTATTCTCCCAAGAACAAATATTGGCTCTCACTGCCTGCCATTGTCTGTAAATTTTGAAGTAAACAACTTGGAACATTCATATTTTGGTACAAATGTAGCTTATAACCAGAAAGCATATAATGACCTTGACACAAGGTCAAATAGACAAATGAAGTCACAAGATATGTGTAAAAGTCTTTTCTGCATTGATAGCTTTTCATTGGATATATAAATTGGAAAACATGGCAGAAGAACAGGTAATGATCAAAGGGTATATTGTCATCCTAACTCAAAAATCATTAGGAGAAAAAGTAAATCTCTGAGCAATGAGAAGAAATCATTTTTGTTGGGTCCACCATTTTTTACAGGAGAAACATTAAAAGCTCATTTTTATAGTGTGATATGAGGGATGACATTTCTCTGACCCAAGGCTATTAATAGACAAGGTTAAGGTTAATAAAATTATAAATTCAAAATCTTTTAGCCATAAATTTGTATTGCAGTTAGGTTAGCTCATATTTTGCATAAAGGTTGATTGTGATCAAAGGAGGACTCATTTCTCCAAAAAGCTGTATAGATATGGTCAATACTAGTGGGCAGTTCTCAGGTACTTGTGTTTCATGAATCATTTTGTCATGACAAAGTTCTTAAATTTGACCATATTTTATTTGTTTTGTAGTTGGTGCTTAAATTTGATGTTTAGTGATTTTTTTCTTTAATTATGCATACTTAAAAATTATTTATTTCAGTAATCACTGTGTTATTAGTGTATTTATTATACTTTTGCATGAAATATTTATTTTGAATAATAAGGTGTCTTTTGGAAAAAAAAATTGAGTAGATGAAATGTTTAGGTATAATTATTGTTTATAATTGATAACACCTTTGCACTGCCGTTTCAAGCAAGCATTTTTTTAAATCGAGTAAATTTTTCAGCATCAATATATATATATATATATACATGTATCAGGAATTTATATGGATGATGCTTTAATGATTTTGACCAATTGCAAGCTTATCTTAAGCACTAAAATTCCAATTCTTGCTTTATATTTCACTATTCCCAGAAAATAATATCGCTAGTAAATGAACAGATTTATTCAGGGTAAGAAAACAGTATCAGCAGACTCTATCTTTTGTACACATTTATTAGGGGTAAATTGTTTTAAACATTTAAGAAGTCATTTTATCAGTGTGTTGATTTCATATATTGATTCATTTGTGGTTTTAACGAGAAATAAAATGTGTCTGAAAAATATTCAATTGATTTGACTTAAGTAACTTTAGCCTGTGATTGGAGTAATTATGGTATAGACAAAGAAATGGCAGTATTTTTACAATAAATTTTCCAAGCAATGATGTTCATCTTTAGATTGCTAGATTTGTCTGTTTGTTTTCTTAGCTCTTAATTGTAGTCTCTGTTTTCCTATCTCTTATTTTGAGTTGACAATCTCTTTTTTTTTTCAATTTGAAATTGATCGATTTATATGTATTTATAATTCAATTAATCACAATGGATTAAAGCCAATTTGAAATTAAAATGATATTGGTCTGGAAGGTGGTCTGAGAAACCTACATTGTGTTTTGTGAGTTAAAATATCAAATAGTTGAGAATATTCTATAAAATCAAGATATTTTTTTATTTTCAGTTTTGCTGTGTAACATGACATGTGTGCCTATTATTTGACCATTTTGGTGTTTGTTTTTTTTAACATGAAAGTGAATCATCTTGTTTTTTTTTTCTCTCTTTCTCTTTTGTAATAAGAACATATAAGTGGCTTTTATGATTTGACTGTCACAGATGTACTAGAATTCTCATTAACAATATTTCTTTTGTACTTGTAATTTTCTCCTGACATTTGAGCAGTTCATTGTGTAATTTGCTGTTTTACTTTTGATAATTGACTCTGGTAGACCAGAGATTTACTTAACAGAAGAGTAATTTGTCTATGTTGTAGGACAAACTAGGGAGTATTATAAAAGTTAGATAAAGTGAAATGTTTTCTAGGTTTTGTTTAGTTTTATTGGAAGAAAAGGCAACACAACACACATGTAGTTTACTACTCCCTCAGCATTGGGTACAGTGAATATCTCTCTCTCTCTCTCTCTCTGGATGAAATCAGTGGTACCCCTATCAGTAATAAACCTACCATTCAGAAAGTAAAGAGGAAAGAAGGCATGAAAAGGGATACAAAAATAAAGTTCTAGAACCACACTAGGAAAACTCCAAATTCATGGGCAGATTTAGAACACTTTCATAGGAGGACTCCACAGATAACTTCAGAATTCTGCCTCTCCAGTATTGCACATTAAGATCATACATTATATTACTCTGATGTCTTCAGGTCAGACAGTACAAAGTATATGTGTACTATAGTGCAGTGACACACCTAGGAAGGGTGCTGTTATTTTTCGAGTTGATACACTGACAGCCCACAGAAGAAATTTATATTTTATTAAAGAGACACTCCCTCCTCATGTACTTTCGCTCAGTAGTAGAGTTTTCTAAAGTCAAAACTTTTTAAAATTGTGATATAAATGAAGAGGGGGGGGGGGATTTTAGTCATTTCAGGCCTGTAGCAACGGTTTCAAAGGGGGGGGGGGGGAACTTCCCACAAATATCTGACAAGCAAAAAAAACCTAAACTGACCAAAAGTGGGACGGGGGGGGGGGGCAACTTCCCAAAATTATCAGACGAGCAAAAGAGAAAACCTAATTCCTAATTAACTGTCCAAGACCCGCAATTTGCCAGTGCTCGACCTTACAACATTAAAAAGTGGAGGGGCTCCAGGATCTAAAGAAAAATGTACTATATAACAAAATACTATACTGGGAAAAAAGGGGGACAACCCCCTCCCGTTTTACGAGCCTGTATTTTGTTTGCTAATATTATTATTTTTCAGAAGTTAGCCGTTTAATTATAAAAGTAACTCTCTGAGCATGATAAATAGTTATAACTATCTAAATTAACAATGCAAAATCAATTAAGAATATTTTTGTTTTCTTTTTTTATGTTTTGCTTTTTTTTATTTTAAAGGGGGAGGAAATAAGCACCTCCTACTAATTTACCTGGTCTGTGAACCCCTGTCAATCATCTGAAATTAATCCTGGGATTGGATACTTGGATTTGATTGACATTTAGTTTTCTGCCATTGTGTATATCTTGTGTACCTTGTCTGGAGATCGTACCGACCATCGAATTTACATTCAGGCTTTTGATGCTTACCGCAAATAATAACGTGATAAAGAAGCAAGGAAAACATTTTTTTTATTTAATTCATAAGAATATGCCATAAATATAATAATTCTGTTA